GATAATATATTCATTTATTGCAGACTTCAAATGATGGTCTCAGCACACCGTTTTACAGGTTGGGCCCAAGCATCTTCTCTGGTCGTACCCAGGAATCAAATTCCTCTAATGTCACAAGTTTCATTTCATTTGAAGCATCTTTCAGTGAGATCCCTCTTTTGTGAGCATGTTGAGCAATAGAGGCAGCCTTATCATACCCAATGTATGGGTTCAGAGCTGTTGCCAGCATAAGAGAGTTGCTGACATTTTGATGAATGCGCTTTTTATTTGCTTCTATACCAAACACACAATTATTAGTGAATGAGAGACATGCATCACCCAGAAGCCGAATGGACTGAAGAACATTGGCCACAATCATAGGCTTGAAGACATTCAATTCAAAATGGCCATTACTTCCTCCTATGGTGATGGCCACGTTGTTCCCCATGACCTGTGCTGCCACCATGGTAATTGCCTCACACTGAGTTGGATTCACCTTACCTGAAAAATGTGCAAAAATAAATATAATTTCTAATGACATTCTGTCATTTTTGTTCTTCTTAAAGATAAAGGGGGGGGGTAATCCATGTTTGAGGATTTATAGTAATCAAGAACTTGTCTCAAATTGCATAAAATTGTCCATCTGATAACTGGACTGATAAGGTAAAGTTGTCAACTAAGCAGTTTATGTTAATCTCTGATTCCTGCTGCTCATGTTTTTTGCCATAATTATTTTAATCTGTTCAAAGAATATCCTCATAGCTAACAAACTGATTGCTATGAAAATCAATCACTTGTTAACAAATATTTGGACTGTGATATCAGAAAAATGACAGCAAAAACAAACCTGGCATTATGCTGCTTCCTGCCTCATTTTCTGGTAAAAGCAGTTCACCCAGGCCTGACCGTGGTCCAGAACCAAGAAACCGTATGTCATTTGCCACCTTCATCACACTACAGGCCACTGTGTTTAAGGCACCACTCACTTCCACCATGGCATCATTGGCTGCAATAGCTTCATACTTATTTCTGGCTAGCACAAATGGCAGCCCTGTAACATAATTTAAGAAAATGCTCGATTCCATCCCCTCTTTAAAATAAAAATCAATAAACATGGCCAACAGAATAAAAATTTATAGTTCCTCACCTGCTTAAATGTAAAAAAATTGTCGCAAATGGACAAGAAACTAACAAACAAGATGTGTCCAGATGACCTTAGTTGCAGGTTTTGAGATGTTATAACTCTTTCACACACACAAAAACTATAATCTATCAAGCCGTTACCTGTTTGCTGGGCAATGTATTCCACAACTCTTGGACCAAAGTCCACCTCTGTGTTCAACCCAGTACCAACAGCTGTCCCTCCTGCAATGACAACATCCTTTTTTTTACATAAATAAATAAAAGTAAAAAGTGATAAATTTAATGTTAAAGTTGCAGATTTTCAAGAACATGAAATCTTTGAGTTTTCAGTAAAGCACCCTGTTTATATGATTAAAAGATTTTGTGGAACATTCAAGATAAGATAAAAATTTATACAAGCAACAAACACATAAAACTTAAGTACAGGAAATTGTTTTGCTAAGAACTAAAATAAACAACTGAACAAAAAGTATTTATGAATTAACTTGAAACTGCACATGTAAAGGGATAAAAACTACTTATAAACATATGTCAGAGATAATTTTAAACATTATGTTCTTATAACCATGAATTTGAAGATTGATAACAATGATACCACCACCAAACATAAAACTGACAGATGTTGCCATTATTAATTGACCAGTAAGAGAAAAGAAATTCCATGCCATCTATATTATTATCAATCAGAAGTGACAATAATGTCAGAAGACAGCAATCTTGGAAACTGGCATCTATCAAGATAGTAACATTCATGTACTAAATTACATACGTATACTAATTATGGGTTTGTGCTTTTGGTCAACATGTTGTTTTGCATACCTAAATTAGAATTTATTATTGTAAAAGTATACTATACAGTAGATTTGGTTTCAGGAAAATGCTGCATATTTAGATCATGCAAAACCTACCTATTGCGAGTTCATAAACACGTGGCAGAGCAGCTTTTACCCTTTCAATGCCATATTCTAACTGCTGGACATAGCCACTAAATTCACTGCCAAGAGTCAATGGTACAGCATCCTGAAAAAAATATTTGTAAATATCTTAAATCTACAGAAACAAAATACTGCATGTCTATCTTCACTGACAATATACTATAATATTAGTTTTATTTGACCGGTGTTGATGCAATCCTATAACAGTACCTGACAATGTGTTCTCCCAATCTTAATGATGTCTTTGAACTTTTCAGACTTCTGCTTCAATGCATCATACAGGGCTTGCATTGACGGCAAGAGACGCTTGTGTATCTCTAGGGCAACTGCAATGTGCATGGCAGTGGGGAAGGTATCATTGGAACTCTGCAACAACAGAATCTGCATAAATGTTTTTCATTTTAAAAACTTGATAAAAATGGGACCATGCATCAGTGCTCAGTTTTTATTAAAACGATGGTTAAGTCAAACACAGACAAATTCTTATATGATGTTTTAAACTTCAACAATTCAATGTATATTGTAATGAGGGCCAAGATCTGAGTGGTATAGCAGCCAGGACCCACTTATAAATTTCAGGTTGATTGACCCCCCCCCCCCCCCCCCTTCATGGGTGGCTGATATTTTCGTATCTTCCAAAAGAAATCGGTTGACTCAGATTTAAGGATCTTGGTTGAATTCCAGTCAATATACTATGGCCAGTGTCTATTACATGTCCAGAAATGAGAGCTGGTATTGCCCACAGTCACTGATATCTTGTGTATCGATCATTAACCCTGGTCTTCAACTGTCCACCTGTCTCACCAATGTTAAAGAAATAACACTGGCAACTGATCTTATATATGGTCCCACAACATTTATAAGAGGGTTCTGGCTGCTATACCACCAAGCAGTCAGTGAGTAACAAAATCTTCACACATCAGTCTGATGAAGGCACATGTCCAGGTTGGCTGTAAGGTAACAGTATGAAAACTTTCCAACGTGTGCTTTATAATTATCATTAATGATCTAACTACCAAGCTAATGAACATTTTTGATCAAGAGCAACCATATTTTGTGTTGATTCAAAATGGTAAAAAAAACAGAGGTATGTGCAACTCCAAATTATTTCTCTCGAGCTTTCTTTTAAATCAACAGAACTTACACTTCATCACAACAATTTTGATGGTTTTTACATACAAAGATAAATATATTCATTTAAAAATTTCAGTTAAAACTGTAGATTCATTTGACAAAAATATACTATAATGGCGAATTGTTATTTGCATAACTTTATCTGAATGTCATAATAATATGTCACTGAGTCTGTATGCTATTTCTCAAAACAAGTTCATTCAAACTCACTCAAAGTTAATGACATATGCAGTATAAAATGTAACAATAATATTTTGATACCATATGTTAAGAAGTTGCATTTGGATATTTCATTACACACCGTACCTTTGAACTGACTAACCACGAAAGATGTATTGAAAATGTTGGTTATAATCAAAATGGTAATAAAAGATTTACTTCTTTTCTGAAATGCTGAAGAATTTCATTTGCTATTTATAAATGCCCCATTAGAGTACCAAGTATATATCTTCATTGTATCAATTCTATCCGAGTTAAAATTCTGCAACTGACACAATTTATCTATACTCTTTTGTCTTTTAAGTTGATTGTTAACTATAAAATTAAACAACCATTATGAGCATATATTAAACAACCATTATGTGCAATGTTATTGTTGTTATTTCTTTGTCCACTATGGGTGCGTTTACAATGAAACTATCCTACTAGGTACGTCTAACTCCAAGGGACTCTCGCTGAATGCAATCAGGTTTAGAGATTAACAAACCTCCTGGTGTTGAGTAGAATACAGAAAAGCTGGTACCTGACACATGTTGACGTGGTCATTAGGATGGACAGGGGTTTTGCTTCCCATCACACCACCCAACAATTCAATGGCTCTGTTGCTGATCACCTCATTTATGTTCATATTTGTCTGAGTGCCTGACCCCGTCTGCCAGATGGCCAGTGGAAAGTGGTCGTCCAACTGGCCATTCATTATCTAAAATTAAAAAAACCCAATTATGGACACAACATAAGTACATAATACAGTCATTTCTATTAATTTAAAAACTTTGAGTTGAGAGGATAAGTTAGGATCAGTACTGGATAAAAGACTTATGACTGAAGGATTTCATGAATTTTAACAATTTTAAGTATCAAAATTAAAATATTAAAATACTATATATAAGATCACTGTACCACTCCCACTACTAATATTTTTCACTACTAACACTTCTTACTAACAACTATATTTGGTAAATAAATTAGCTTGATTTTCAGGAAACAATTTTCAGGATCAATAACCACATGCATCAGATATCAGTCAATTTAACAGCTGAAGTCATTTTGCTTCATGATCTGTTTTGATGCAATGGCCCACATAGGGATTCTGCATGCCTACATAGTCAGCAATCAAGAATATAAATCATTTTCAAAATGTGTAATTTGGGAATATGAATGACAGAAATCAGGTTATATTCAAGTTAGGATGAAGTCTCTGGTGGCAATATATTAAATTTTTCAATGCCAAAACTTTACAATACCAGCTTTAACAGTCTTCAGCAATGCATGAATTCATGCTGAAATCTAAAGCAAATTAAAAAAATACTAACATGTACATGAAAATAAAAAAGACCATTCAAGACTGTCAAGTTGACATCACTCAACATAAATATGTCTTTGCACACAAAACTTGAAATAAACCTTTGCATATTACATGAAGGCCCATATTGTTAGTGACAGACAGGTAATGCATACATCAAAGTAGGTCAACACGGAATGTCTGCATGGTACAAGGACATTCAATATCAAATATGTGACCTTGAAAATAAGCTTAGTTTATTCACTGAAGAAAAAACATACATGCCCTTCAAAGCTCCTCCAGTACCAGTACATGTTGGTAGCTTACAGGTTGACCCCAAAACTACACACCACACTTAGCACTAGTAAAATCTTCAATCTTCAATAGAGTTACATGTATATATGCAGTTCAGTAAGAAGTTTGATGCAAAGCAAAAATTATAATTCTGATAACATCACAAGTGACATTTACAATGTAAGGTACAAAATCCTGAAATTGACCAGGGACTCGACTGTAACTTAATTAGCACAGCTGTTTAATATTAATGGTGGTTTAGACATAAATTGCAGATAATGGAAACAACATCTATGGAAAGTTGCAGGTTTTGGCCAAGGCTTTACTAGCCTAGGTACCTGACATTCTTTGGAATCCCTCTGTACATTGAAATAGATACTCCAGTAAACCTTTTCCTCGACTAAGTAATCATGTGCCTTTTTTGTCAGTAATGGACATACAACGCTCTAACAGAGATAAAGCAAAAAAAAAAAAAAAACAACAGTAATGATGATCTCACCTAACTCTGACCTTCATTACTAGAATTCAATAATCTTTAAATTTCCAATAAATCATTTAAATATACTTTCATGATCGCATGCTTTCTTTATTTGTCTTTCACCATCTACACTTTGGTATCATAGCAGATAAAATCTACAAAATATGTAGTTTTTCTTAGCTATATATATTCTTAACTGACAGTATATTTTAAATTCCTCCTACTGCAGATACCATACCTCTTCAGCAGCCTGTACTATTGCCTCAGAAGCTCTTGGATCCAATCCATATTCCATGTTGATAACAGCAGCTGCTTTCTTTAAAATGGCATAAGCACGTATAATTGGGATCTAAAAATGAATTAAAAAAACAAATATAATAACTTTTACATACAGTATAATTACCAGACTTCTCACATCTAGATTCTACAGTATCTAAGAACAAATGGATGTTAGGTGTCATCAGTTTTTGGGGTAAAAAAAAAGATTAAAAATAGCACACGAGGTGGCACACAGTCTTAATTACATCTACCTCTAAGTCTAGGCAAGAAATTAATATACAATTCTTTAGTTTCAGTAAGAAAAACAAAACTAAAGATATTAATATCATCCTTCAATTGATGTTTCTTCGTTTATATATATTTAGATTCATTTTTTGTTAATTGATGAACATTTTGATGAGTTTATATATTTTAGATTCATTTTTTGTTAATTGATGAACATTTTGATGAAAATATAAAAGTCTTACTGGCATTCTTTCTGTGACTCCTCCAATATCAAAATGATAGATAGACCTAGCTGTTCCTGCTCCATAATATTTGTTTTTAGGAACTGATATCTCTCCAAAGGCATCCTCTTCAATGCGAAACCCTGCCTGCAGAATTCAAATAAGTTTCATATCAATGTTAAACCATGTATTTCTTTTTTCCATTTTGGTGTAGTGACATCAAAGTTTTCTCAGCTCCTTGTTTACACTCCATGATAAGATGAAGTTAAGATCGTTTTGCAAATAATTACAAGATACAGAAAATATCTGTGCGTAAAAGCTTTAACTTTTATTTAAAAAAAAAGCACTGAAATGCATATATGTTGCTTTGACTGCAGTCAATTAGTTGAAGATTAAAAATGTCAATAAGTGCTCTAAATAATTAAAAAAAAAAAACATTGACAAAAGAAAACTAAATATTGCACCTAATAATAATTAAGAAACATTTACACTGAAAGAGCATTTTATATTTCTAGGGTTATTAATTATAATTAACATAACGCTTAAATCAATATAGAGTTAAATTATTTCAAAATTTGACATATCTCAGTCCATATTTTATAAAATTGTCAAACCACTATTATATTAATTCTAAAAATCAAACTACATGCACCTGTATAACATGTACATTTACAATGTTTTATACTGCAATCTTTAGAAAACTTACAATTTCGCCTGAGTGTTAACAGAGTATACTGTCATTCCCATTACAGGGCACATTACTAATATAAGTACCAGTAATACATGTATGCAATACGATTCACTCTAGCACAAAACATCATTTAAAAAATAAAGACGTAGAAACGGTTGAAAAAAAGTGCAAAATGCGTAAAGTAAGCTTTCCAGCAGCTGCAAGATTATCATTGTGAGCAAAATATCTAACTATTACTAATAAACAAATAATTACCTCGGACTGTATGCTCATGTTTTATATTGGCTAAGGTAAAGTAGTCTGTTCTAACGCAACGGCTCCTGTTGACAAGTTGCACACCTGTAAGGACCGGGAGTAGCCTTGAAGAGTTGTGTACCTCGTTTAACAATGCAAATCCACGCTTTGACCTGGGTTTGACCTATTTATAAAGTGTATGTTATTCTTTATTAATTTTCGAAGCTTAATTCTTTAGATAAAACGCACAGTAGTTTTTATTTAGTGAGTAGTTGAATAAAAATTACTTGCATTATCCCATTTTAAAACCGACGTGTCAAAGACTGTTGTATATGCAGCGTTGAAAGATACGAAACTATCCCTGTTTTCAATTCTTTACACATTTGAAACACATGCACTTTCTGCATGCATTCAGTGTGCTTTCATGTTAATCCTTATCTTTAGAGTGAGACTTTATACCCAGATTGCTGTAGGCGAGCTCTCTATGTTCAGTGGATAAGAACATGCATCTCCTGCGTAAGTTCATTTGGGGTGATTTGTAAGTCATTTTGTTTATTTTGAATGATTATTAGTAATACAGTGACTTCAAGGCTGTCATTTTCCTCAAAACGAGTCGATTGTAGATTTTAAAAAATGCAGTACGTGAAGCCTGCATGCAGATACTGCATAGACTCTGTGTATGTAATGTAGGGAAAGTATCCAAGCTACTTTAATACTTACAGTCAGCAGTGGTGGTGACAAAATGCAGTGCATATTGATTTTTTCCAACTCCAATATATGCACTGTAAAATTCCTTATTCGTCAGTACTACAAGTAGTATTAGCAAATGGTTATTAAGCTACGTTTCATGTAAGGAAAGGAAAGAAAATTGATAACTTGCATTTATCATCTATTTAAGTAGATAACCTACTTGCTCTTCTTTAATTAGTTTCAGAATAATGTCGTGGAACAGCTAAAAGTAAGTTATCAAAAGGAAGAGATTGATGCCTGGGAACTCTACTCAGAGTTATGGAACTGAACAGAAAAACAAGTGACCCAGTTCAGTGGACTCCATATCTGATTGGAAAATGCATAATCAGAGCACTTTATGTCCTCATCAACAATTTGTACTGCATCCCAGCTTATGTGGTGTGGATGTTTTGCTTTTCACCACTAAGATTTATCAGACCAGATTTGTATTGGTACATCGAAGGAGTGTTATTTAAGTGGCTGCTTGCTATGGTAACTTGCTGGATGACAACTGCAGGCTATCGTGGTAAGATCTGTCTGTACTAATGGTACTGGATTTCAAAACCGTAGATATAGAGACTCTCCTAAATATTTCCTTCCTAACATACTTATATAATACATTTTTCCTGGTTGTAATATTTTTTATTTACCATCAAATTGAAGACAGACAAAAGCTTCGATCCTTGGCTAACATGTTGCTGTCAAGAACTTGATTGTTAAGAGAAATAATGATAAGTGTTATGGACAGGAGAAATTGAATCCTCAAGGAAAATAGATTGTATCGAGTAAAACTAGTTTTGTTATTTATTTTAATATATATATATAGTATATATCATGGTAGGACAAATAATGACCATATTGATGAATTATTCATCAAGGTTCACTTTCATTTCTGCCTCGATAAAGTGATACGGCGTTATGTTTATTCTATGGCTTTATTGTTTCTGCAGTGCACATTGAATGAAACCACAAGTTTAATGTTTACAATAAATTTCATAGTTGTAGAAGTGGGAGAGAATGTGTCCCCAGCTTACAATGAAGAGGCTCTGGTCATCGTAAACCACCAGTCCACAGCTGATGTGCCCACCATGATGCATGCCCTGCAGCACAAAGGAAAGGCTGTGAGGCATATGATGTGGATACAGGATCTGATTTTCAAGTACACCAACTTTGGGGTGGTATCAGCCAGTCATGGGGATTTCTTTATTTTACAGGTGTGCATTTACATTAAAAAAAGTATTTCTGAATATGGACGCATAAAGGCTGATATCAACCTGTGCATGGTGGTGTCAGTAAATTCTATTCAAAATTAGGGTTTCTTGGTGGGAAACATTTAGGATTTCCCTTTGTATGTATGACAAATAATGCACTGCTACCCCCCTAGCCCACCCTGAGCTTCAGAGCTGACTTGACACTAACCTTTTCACTGTAGCCTATCTCCATCGTGTCAAGTAACCTCTGACCAGATTCGAGTGCCCCCGCCGCCCGCCAATCAAATTTAAAGCCCGCACTCAATGACTCATTGAACGATCTAGCCAATGAACGCGAACGAGTCAAAGCGCGCTTTGTTCAAATCCGGACCAATCAAAGATAAGGCTGAATATCAGGGACTTGCCGTAACCTGTGGGCAGCACGCAAAATACATCATCCCTCAGTAGATAATGATGCAGGGCATCATACTGCTCTGGTTTCAATTCCGATATACTCCATGCTTTCTTTGTGTACGGTTATGCACTCGGAACCACTCGGAACTACTCGGATGTCTCCGCACTCGACAATAACTATGTTGTTAGTATGGAGCTTGCGGAATCAGCCGAGGATTGCCGATTGACGATCAACCAATCAGCGTTTTCACCAAACTTTGGTGAAAAATTTTGAAACATGGATTCGATTGGCTTATATAAACTAGGTCAAACTATTTTCGTCAGAGGTTACTTGACACTATGGAGATAGGCTACAGTGAAAAGGTTAGTGTCAAGTTAGCTCTGAAGCTCAGGGTGCCCTAGCCCGGTATACACAATAGTATGAATCGCTATCGCTCAGTGTGCTGTCATATATATCAAGCTCATGGGCAGAGCATTATTTAGTACAAAAGATTATCAGTGCAAAAGAAAAATTTACATGGTGGTACATGTAAATTTGGGTTAAATTAGAAACTTAGAGTATACCATGCATTTGATCATTGCATTAGAATGAAAAATGTCCCTCTGTACTAATCAACCAAAAAAGACGAGCAATCTACAGGATAATGAAATATGGAATAATTTCCAAAAAATGCCATTTTATTTTTTATAAGGGAAAAGAACATAGAAATACAATGTTGGACAAGCTGCAGGAGCACATTGAGAAGACTTACCTCACTAGAGACAGGAAATGGATTTTACTGTTTCCAGAAGGTGGCTTTTTAAGAAAACGAAGACAAGGGAGCCAGATGTACGTTTGATTAAATGTTTAATTCAGTATTTTGGTAAAGAATTCTGAAATGCATAGAATTAGTTGATTGCTCATTTAGAATGGGCCTTCTCATATTCCACTTTAAAACTTTTTCATGCCTCCCAGTTTAAATTTTAGTATTTTTAAATACTTAAAAGATTGAGGTGCTATCATTATCAGTTTGAAAAAAATATTTTTTCTTCATTCAGTAATAGCCATACAACTAAACATTTTTTACTTACCTACATATATGTTACTAGTTGTCTCATTGTTATCTTTAAGATTTGGACAGAAGAATAATTTTCCAATACTGGAACATGTAACACTCCCAAGAGTTGGTGCTATGAAGACAGTGCTGACTACACTGTCCAAAGAGACACTAAAGAAGAAATCAACTCAAACACCTGGTGGGTGTGTGTTCCTTACACTTAAAAAAAACTCAAAAGCAAATGAGTTTAAGTATGACATAATTACCTTATTTTTTTCTTATTTTTTTTCTTTTTACATACTGTATGGTATGGTGAATTTGCAGAATAGTTTAACATTCTTTGAGTTTTTGATAAAATGCCCCTTTAAATTCCATTTGCTATAAAGACATCTTGCATGTTATATTTTGCAAATTGGACAGATTTGTGTTTATCAACTTTTTTCTCCTCAAAAGTGTGATATAAAAGACATTCAGATTACTATAAATTTTATTGAACAGTTTTGATTTATGATTTTAAGGCCAAGCTTCAAAACACGTCAAATGGGTAATTGACATCACAATAGGTTATCCGGATGCCAAACCATTGGACCTTCAGACAGTAATTGCTGGCCAGCGCCCAACCTGTGACGTTACCCTTTACTACAGGCTCTTCCCCATATCAGTGATTCCAACTGACACAGAGGGGCTCACACAGTGGATGTACAGAAGGTTTGAAGAAAAAGAACAGCTTTTAGACACTTTCTACATTACAGGGATGTTCCCAGACTTGCCAAATACTGGGAGCATTGGAAAGAGACTTCCAGGGCCAAAGCGTATAGAGTTCAGTCCATTATATTTTCTTTCTATACATGTGTTTTTTATATTGTCCACATTTATTCAGTGGGCTGTTTTTCTAGGAATATGGAGAAGTTTGTTCTAAGTTGTATGCAGATCAGTTTTAGCCATTCGCAAATGATTGTCAATTTTAACTTGAAAAAGTGCTTTTTGAATTCCACCCTCTTCAATGTGCAATCCCACTTAAGGGTACTGTAAGGGTTTATGATCATCCAGAAACTAAAAGTGAGTTTTTTTCCTGCATTTAATTATCCAGTAATGCATCTACCTTTAATGCAATGTAAATCCCCTCAAAAAATATAAAATATCAGCATTTATATTTCTCATTGCTTAGCATTAACAGAGGCAAAGCATTTATCATCAATCTAACATCTTTCTATTTCGAGGAGAAATAGCTTAACTCCATTCCTGATCAAGATCTTATCACAAAAATTTGCATTCAATGCCTTGCTGTTATTTTATTTAAATGTTTCTGTCATGGAGGTCTGAGCACCTAATTACAATGCATCACTGAACAAATGCTTTATTTTGCCTTATTAAGATAAAACCTGAACTATGGCTTTTCAGAAAAATTGCTGACAGGGTTTTAGAGTTCTCAATGGTGTGATGGATTTGGCATTGAAACAGTGCTCGTGGGTGCTCAGGTTAAAGGAGAAATTTGAGAAACCGATTTTTTACATGATGTCAAAAAATGTGTAAGGCAGTAAATAAAAGGAGTTTTTTTTTTGGCTAACCCTTACAGTACCCTTTACAGGTGCTTTTTCGCAATTACCATTGCTTCATCTCAGTGCTCCTGCAGTCTGATCACAGTGCTGACTGGGTACCCTAGAGTGCTGGCACTGTGGGGAGGTTGCAGTCAAGTGCTTGCTATTGATATTATAACTAAAATAAGTCAATTTATATCTTGGGACAGATTTGAGTGACATTAGGTGACATACCTTACAATTGCTCAGCAAATGTTTTACCTCTTGCCAAATTGAGCATGGAAAACAGTCATAAATATAATTTACATTAAGTATTAAGTAAATCTTATCATAAATATCATTTATGTCAAAGGAAAGAATTGGCCATACTTATGATTTTGCCACAGCACTCACCAAGGATGAAATGAGCTACATGGGCTAGTCACTAGTGCTGATTTCTAAAATTGTACACTTGCATGTATTTAATAGCTAGCAACTTTGTAAACTATTTACTTAGTACCTCAAAACTGGAGATGTGTATTTATGGTGCTTAGAATCAGTATTACATTTGTGGACTTAAATGCTTTTTTTAATCACTGAAAATGTCAATCCTTTTTTTGAGGGATTTACTGTCAATTTTTGTTTAAGTAAAGAAGCAACCCACAGATTATAAATACTTGGTGCTCATGATTTATTTTGCCACAATTTAATTATCAGTTAGAGGACACTAATCATTAAGTGTTCAGTTTCATTGTACTTTATTAAGAATGAACACTTCTTTGAACATATTTTAGTCAGTTAGAAGGATTGTTGTCACTTTTTTCTATCAGTGTTGATATATTTAAACCTTCATAGGAAGGTTTGTGTTTTCATGTTCAGATGTTAGAAAGAAATAGTTATTTCAACAATAATATTTTATATATTCTATATTGCATGACAATCATTGAAAGTGCATTGTTAGAAATGTTAATTTAGACTGTTGTGAAACTTGAAGGATATTACACACAACAGTCAATTGTGCAAAACATCAGGACTGGTGTGAATGGTATGTAACGTGAAGAAGGTCATTGAACACTTAATGATCTTGCAAGCCATTCGCTGCTGTTGGTTTGAGCAATAATTAATATCTTGTAAAATCAATCCTTCAGTTGTGGAGGTCAGCATTTTTTATCACCGATGTCTTGCAAAATGCTAGTTGAAGGAATGTTTAAGGAGTGTATTTCATGGGTGGAAATTCATTCCCATAAGTGGTGAATTATGGAGAAGGAATTAGGTAAGGGGTTTGGGACCAAGTAGTTACTAGGGGGAAGTCCCAAATAACTTTGCAGCCTTTGGTATTAATCTTGAAATAAACTGGGACCAGTTTTTGGAACATTTTACTCTACAGGTTACTTTCTTAAATGAATGCTTTAGCTATGATAATAAAATTGGAATAATTGACAGTATTGTTAAAGGCATAATAACTCTTTGTATGAGACCTATATTTCACAATAAAAACCTTGTGAATAACTCATAGAAATATAATATATTCTGTTTTACCACAAAAACAGCAGTTATAGCTTTTATTCTGATATTTGAACTTGTCTTTAGACCACGTGACCTCCATTGATGTCTATACTCTGTTAAAATCTCTTAAGAGATTTTAACAAAAAAACCAANGTATTGTTAAGAACTTTATTAAACAAACATCGATTTATGTAAGATGGATTGGACATGAAAAATTGCTTTTGGATTTTGTTATAAAGAAGTATTTTTGCAAAAAAATAGGGACACGGAGCAATATATCTATAACCTCGAATGGGATATAAGCCCAGCATTTTACTGGGTTTGGTGGCTATAATTGTTTAGAACTACAACTGAACAAAATATCATAAACATTTTATTGCACATATCTGTACAAAATAGACTGTAGAAAGTAGGTGGACTTCCATATGTCTGACTGAAGTACCAAACAAGTCTATTTATTGCTATGTAGACTGAAGTAATAGAATTTCCTTATCATAAGAAAAAGTTTTGTAGTTCGTCTTATGGAGATCTTGTGTTCCTCTAAGTGATGCTCTTGACTGTCAAGGTTTCGAAGGATTTTTGAAATAAAAATCTATTCCTCTTTGCCTTCCTTTACCTGAGGGTGCCCTTCCTCTAGAATCTGACTGCAAACAAAGTAGAAAGGTTTCAAGAATTTTTTCAACAAATTTCACTATACAATATCTAGATCTCATTTCTTTGGTTGAAAGTTTTCATTACCCGAGTACTAAGAATTGAAAAGGCTTATGACATCACCATGCCTCCTTGATATCATGATTATGAACTAAACCACATTCTGCATTCATCCCAAATCTTCAGACAAGAGAAATGTGTGAATATACAATTGATTAGACTGATTATTATACATTTTATCATTCACAAACACAAGTTTTTCATAATGTGCTATTGTGACTTTAGAGAAAAAAATTAATATAAAGTAATGCAGGATGAAAACTTACTTGACGGCCCACATGCTTGGCCCACTCTTTTGCAATCACAATTGGATGAGGGTAAGTTTCTCCTATGTTCACTCTAGCTTTACTTAATAAAGCTTTGCTAAGAGCCCAAGGTGTATGGACATTGCCTCCCTTTATTTCTGACAACTCTGGGACCCAAAGCCGTACATATTCCCCCTAGAAACAAGCAATGGTTATGTTAGAAAATGTGCACTCACAGTTGGGTAATTTTGAAACAAAAATTTACATTGTAAGTGAGCATTTCAATGTGTGATTGGTAAGTGCAACTATTCATTCAGGGGTTTGTGCAACTGGACATCAGAGATTTTGAAAACAATGTTAGAGTTAAAATTGCACAAAAGCCTAGCTTAGTGCTCAATAAGCTTTAGTTACATATGGTACAAGAACTTTCAAAATCTCCGATGTTGACCTCTCAAACAAATACCATTAACAATTTTACATTTAAGTGCCAATGTATAGTACTTAAGTGAGAAATATGGAAACAGCATCATTATATTAACTTAGATTTTGTAGGAACTATAATCCATTAATTTGTTAATTTAATCAAAAAAGGCATGCTTATGATAGTGTTGTCAATAGTTCATGAAAAAGAATTACAAAAAAATAAATCTAGGAACTCCAGATAAAAACCATCAATTAGCAAACTGATTTTTTTTCGTTTCATTATGTAATTGCTTAGTACCTCTGGGTCATAATCCATTCCTTGTTTTACCATGTTAAACTTTCTGTCTTCTCTCGGGTCATTTCCAATCCCAGCAGCATACTGCCAGTTGCCATAGTTACTGCACACATCATGATCAATCTGGATATATATGCGTGTTGCATTGATTATAACAGCCTCGAAACAATAATAATAGGGAGAATCCAGACATTTTTTAAAATGTATATTCATACATGTTAGTGCCCTTATAGGTGCTATTTACTCACAAAATGGTTTTGGTATATTATTTTGAGGACATGGAGTAATTATGGCATACTGATTATTCAAAAATCTTTAATTATTTTTAAAACTTACAAGGCAGGACTCAAACCACTCTGCACCCATTCTCCAATCCAAGTGCAAGTCTTTGGTAAGAAAGCTTGCAACATTCTGAAACAGTTTCTTAGTATTAAACAACCATTTCCAATGAAAATTCTTATAAAAACCAAACTAATAAACAAATTGCTTAAAACTCCAAAATTATACTTCTCATGATGCAAGACATTACTGTATTGGATAATGATAAAAATATGTTTACATGTAAAATAATCTTTTATTTTTCATCATTCTAAAAAAACAGTACCTGTCTGCCTCTATTGGACATGAAACCAGTGGCAGCCATCTCTCTCATGTTAGCATCAACATAGGGGACACCTGTGTTGCCAGCTATAATGGAAAGTGCACAAGACTCGAGTTACCTCTTTTTGGCACAGTAATTTGTGACAGCTAGTGTCACAGACATCAGCAGACATTTCAACGATTTATGTGTTTCTACTATGGAAATAATTAAGCTGGTGCAACAAAAAGCTTAACTTGAGGATGGAATCAAGTTTATACTTCATTCTTGAGCTTTCGAAAACAAATTGCACTTACTTTTCCAAGCTTGAAACAGTTTGGGGTCCTGCTTCCATTGTATTTTCTTGCCCATTATACCTTTGAAAAAATAAATGTAAAATGTTAAGAATAACCAGACATTCTAGCCTATCTCAAAAACAGAATTTTACTGACTCTTATGGTCCCTATTCAATAATTGGTTTAAACCATCCATTTTATACCTTTCAACAATATAAAAGCATCTGGAAATGTCCAACAGTAATGTTGTTGTCTCAATGTCCTGTAAAGCTATTCAGACGTTTTCAGTGTTATATAAAAATATATATAATATTACATAAAAATTGTATATAAAAACGCCTGATATTAACATTTCCTTTTGAAACGTCAAAATATGGCAGTCTAAATGAATCACTCATTTACAACTAATTTAATTAGAAATGGTATTAAACAAAAATTAAAGGCAGGGCTGGGCCAAGCATTAATTTCTAAGTGGAAGAAAATTGTTTTTTTTTTCTTCAAGAAACATTAGATTTGGAAAAATCCCATATCAAATACCTTTTAAAGGAGGTTTAGCTTATTCGTTTTTAAAACTTACCATCCAGAAAGAATAATCTGGTCCCATATTTAAGAGCTACAAACTTGAAATAGTCTCTCCATATCAGCTCAAATATCACCCAGTAAGTAGACTGGTTAGCTGTCCTCTCCTTTTCATATCTTTTAATCTCCCAAAATATTTTTCTGGGAGAAATGCTTCCATGTGCAAGCCTTCAAGTGAAAAGAAATACAAAATAATAAATCCCACATTGACAATAATTGGTCTAAATGTTTGCCTTTTACAATAAGAGAAAATTGATAAAATTTCAATAAAGTTCATAATATAAAAGTGATAAAAATTCGAGCTTGTGTTCAATTTTTGGTTGTGATGATTACATATCTTTGAGAAATGAAATACAGCTCATAAAATAATTTCACCAGCTGTACAATTCATACAGATAAAATTCACAGTTTCTTCAATTAACAATTGTCTTTGAATTCTTTTTTCCAGCCCATATTGTGGTTATAAACTGGCATGGATGTTACCATTAAAGGTCATATCAAAGACAGGCAGGGGGCACATCAATACCAACAGTTTCATTTACAATTTTAGTGAAATTTTACCATGTTGAAAATTTTGTCGAGTAGTCAGCTCCAACCATGCCATTTCTTGTTTCTTTATATTTGGCCACCGAGTCGCTGTCCCACAGGTAGTGTTTTAGTCTACTCAGAGCCTCAGTCTCTCCTCCACAAAATGGAAAAGCTGATCTTTCATCTTTGACTTCACCTGCAACACACATGTATTATGTCTGAACAAAGAGATTAGAAGAGTAACAGATAATAAAGTTATTAAGAGATTTCTCCTTTCTTTTTAAACTAGCCACAATGATAGTTAGTCAATATAGATTTAGATCAAAATAGTCTTGAATTACCCAACCTACATTTGTCTAAGACCCCATTCCCATAGATTTTAGATCGATCTATCCCTGTGGGGAGTCTCACTAGATTACTGTCAGCTTAGCCGGCTTAAGCGTCTGTCCCGCCTACTAAAAGCTGTAAGGGGGTAATTAACTATGGTGCACGCTCGGCTGACTGCAATTAAGCATGAACCCCCAGGGAGTTAGGTCGATCTAAATCTAAATCTCTGGATCGATCTAAATCTCTGGGAATGCACCCCAAGTATTATCTGAACTTGTATAAATATCAATGAATTTAAAATGGCAGTTTAAGGTTCAAAAAATAAAAAGGTCTAACAGTGAAGCAGTTATTGTTGGATTAATAAGTACTATTTGTGGTTTTTATACAAAGACGCACCTTGCATCCCAAATGTTTGCATGGTGGGCATTTCACCTTCCTCTAAGTCTGGTGGTGGTGGTTTCAGTTGTTCTGGTATTTCCAGTAGTTTACGCACAGAACTTTGACCCTCTACTGCCTTCCTAAACTGAGTATAAACATCAGGAACACTGGGAAAAAAAAAACAAAAACAAAGAACATCAAACAACACTATAAGCTAAATAAATTCCAAAATTAATAAATCTCAAATGAAACAGAAAATAATATACCTACTTTATCCTCGAAAATGACATCAGACGGAAAGATATCTGTAAAATTAGACTGTCTTCGATTATATCTTGAGCTTTTTTTTAGACAGAACTCACTGCTGTAAATTTTTCACTTGGATTGTTTTAGATTATATCTTAGATCCGTTTTTAGATGGAACTCACTGTTGTATCTTAAATGGCACGTCTTCTTTATGATACAAGGTAGATCCCCAAAATGTCTTAATTTGAACTCCACAATTCTTCTTTAATGCTGCTTCCACATCTAACTCTTCCTGTGTAGCCTGGACATAATTTGTATATTATTAAGTAAACAGGTACACCTCAATTAAAATGAGATCAAGAATCCAATACATACATATCACATAGCACAGCCTACCTCACCAACAAGCAGCCTCTCCCAAAAATATGGTGAATTTTAACAGATGATCATAATAAGGATGAAATAATTTTTGCTACTAAGTTAAATAATTTATCATACAAAGAGAAAAGAAGGTTCTCGGATCACAGAAGGAAAAAAGCCTGAATTGTTAACTATTTGAACTTGTTAACAAACCAATATCCTGGAGCTTTTGTTAGAGAGAGTACATATTAACTGAAATGCCAAAAAAAGTTAATTCCAGTTTATCCACCAACATACCTCTTCTTGAAATCCAACAGCTATTACATTTCCCTGTCCCAGACATTTGATAATGGCAGGTACCACATCTTCTGGTTTGCCTTGTCTTATTATGAGATTGCTAACAGGAAGGAATGAAATAGTACATGTATACTGGCTCAAATATGTCATGTAAGACAGCAATATTCCTTATGATATGATGGAAGTTCCAGCAAACATTTTAAGTACTTCTAGATTCATGTGTTATCATATGTTAGTAACATTAATCTGAAATCATCATTATTTTTTACTGAAATAACAAATTTGATAAATGCAATATGGACCAAGTATCAATTCACACACATTAAGTTGCTACCATATGTCACAATTCAATGCATTTTAAGTGTTGGAAAATTTTCAAATCTATAACTTGCTTTCTCTATCAGTCAACAAGAAACTTCCACATCAACTGAAACTTGCTGAACTGACCAAGCAGGGCCCTCTAACTCGAAAGCATTGTGTATTGTGAATAGCGATATCACATGGAGCCTACAGTGTATTATATGGGGTGAGTTATGGAATCGAGATGCATGCGCTCAGTCGCAATGCGCAATGCTTTTGAGTTACGTGGCCCAAACAGCAATTGACCCCAAAAGTTGAACTGCATGACCAGTCACTGACCTGTCACCACCAAGTAACCTGCAACATATTTAAATACAGAAACTGCATGTCCTGTACAATATAAGCTCACCTTCCTCTGGCTTTCAGGCTCTTCCTCAAGTCATCAACACTTTCTAACAAAAACTGCAATCTATGGGCACCAGTCTTAGGAAAGCCAAAGTGGTAAGTCCCAGCAAAGTGTCTTGGGTCGAAACAGTACAGGGGAAGCACATGGCTGGCTTGCAAATGGCTGTAGGCCCAATGAAGAAGCTAAGTGATAATGGAAATATTTTTGAAATTCAACATCCATGCTTCTAACATAACCTACCGGTACAGTTGCCTCAGTCTTTGGCCTTGCATACTACACTGCAAATTAAGGTCTCATAAAGTCTGCACCGTTAATCCTACACCCGCAGCCTGCCAGCCTGCAAAATTTTATTTGGACCAGTACATTTTTCAGAATGTTCGAATTTAGTGGTCAGACATAGCCAATAGATTCTTTTATTTAAGTTTTCAGAAGTGCTCTTGTAATTATACTAATGCAATTGGGGAAAAGCCCAAACTTATTAAAATTTTTATTCAGAACAGTGAATCCCGAGTCGAACCAGTAGATTTTAGGAAACCATAGGTGGTGCAATGGCCAGTAAGTTGAATAGTTTAAGGTACAGACTGTAGACCCCTGTTTTAAAAATTCTAGAGACCATAAACTTCTTTATTCTGGGGAAACTGTGTGTCCTTTACCCCAGCATATTACAGCAGCTGCTACATTCCACTACTATACTCCACTTCTGCACTCAATTTGTAATTGACGCAACATACAGCCTCGAGAGTTTTTAACACAGGATGTTATGAGGCTAAAAGCTAAGGCAAACTTAAGCCCGCCGCACACAGAACAATTTTTCGGTGGCTGACAAAAGTCGGCCGATCGGTCGTCCTGGATGAGATCAGCGCACACACACGACAAGCTGTCGCAACAAAGCGCCGACTGGTGTGGTGAAAGTGACGTAGTTATTATCTCGTCTGCGAGGTGGGGCGTTGTTTAATTTAATCAGGAAAAGTTTCTGTAGGCCTATTTATATCTTATATCTGATATTGTAATGATAAGAGTTAAAATTAAATGTAAGAGTATAACAAGATTACTTTAATTAATTGAAAAATGAGCAAATTGAAATGCCCAAATTTTCTAAATCAACGCAATACTCATAGACCATAAAAATACAGCCTATAGGATGACAACAGTTTGTCAGTTTAGACAGATTTAGTCACCTCGATGCAGCATTACGTCGTTAAACGGTTAATGACGCTGAAAATTAAAAAAAAAAAAAACTAATACTAATAGAAAATTATAGGGCCTTCCATCATACTGAATTGAATTGAATTCTGACGTGGGCACGTGATATCAGATGGCGCAACTATTGGCTGAAGATAATGATCAGCACGACAAATTGTCGTAGGAAAGCACACACACTACATGTACAGTACGACGTTTAAAAATCAAACATGTTTGATTCTCTCCTGACTAGTTGAAAAGTTGTCGTGGAGCAGCGCAGACAGGCCGATATTTTGTTGTAAGTGTGTCGGCCGACGAAAAATCGTTCTGTGTGCGGCGGGCTTTACAGGATGAAATTATTTTATTATAAATACTATTACATGTAATTACAAGAATTTTTTAATAGAACAAAACTCTTTAAATTCTAAGTCATATCTCTTCATACACAAACAATCTGGTATTTCCAATCACTAACCAATATTTTGCCCCAGATTTCGGCCGAGGTAGGCCTACTTACTGCACAGGCCTAGCACGTAACCCTGAAACAGCAAAAATAAATAATATTTGATGTAGTACGTAAATTTGCAAAAACACCAACCTCATTATCGTGCAGCCGGAGATCATTCCGAATCAAGCATATAACAGTTTTCATTGCAGTACCAGACATGATACTTCAGAATATATCTTTTCCTTCGTACTATATTTGAGTTCGCCTAAAAATGACAACTGCTCATGTAACAGATAGCATGCTTTATACAACACAATGCTTTTTATAGTTTTACATCTTTTCAGACTCCTTTGCAAAAAGAGTTGCACTTAAAATCTCAACAATCACAATGAGAAACACTTCAGTTCCCACTCCTCAAGGCTGACAGTTTTCAACAAAAAATGTATCAAATATTTGCGTTATAAATGCTGTTGAAAAAAAAAACGAAGTTGATAATAATGTATCCATAGTTATAGACTGTAGTTTATAATGTAAGGTGTCAATGTGACATTGTTACCTCCGCCAAGGAGGTTATGTTTTCACCCCCGTTTGTCTGTCTGTCATCAACAAAACTCAAAAAGCAATGGACCGATTTTGATGAAATTTTCAGGAACTGCCAGAAGTGGGCCAAGGAAGAGATGATTAGTTTTTGGTGGTGATCCAGATCAATAATCAATCAATAATAATCAAAAATCACTGGGTTGGTGGAGGTCTGCGCTCTTGGAGTGCTTTTCTAGTATTATAGATGGAACCTGCTTTGATATGTACAGAATTGTTGAATGATAACTCTTTAAATTCAGCAAATTCTATCACAAATTGGCCCATCGGGGCCGTAGCAATAGTCCGAAAGTTCAATTGTCTGAAGGTTCACTAAAAAACCTACGGACCAATTAACTCTTCATTAAAAAACCAATGAAAATGTTACCATTCTTCGGACCAATGAACCTTCGGACTATCGAGACACCCCCAGGCCATCCACAGTACATTATCTTTTGATTTCTATAACATCATAGATGAATACTCCTTCACATGTCAATGTTGTCTGAAAGGGCAATATTCTATTCATGGGCAGCATATGAACAAAAGCATGTTTTGAGTCTCCACCTATGCAACCTTTATTTTCTTAAAATATATAAGTGACTGATATATCATTTCACATTCTCTGCCACTGAAGCAGCGGTGCTCAAGACCGAAGCCTAAGTTTGAAGGAGTCATTTATTGATGAAAGGGCACATAATATATCAAATTTGTCCATGATCTTTTTACACAAATGAAGAACAAGAAAAATATCTACTAGAACATGGAATAATAATTGGCGTTTGTTTTGCAAATGTTAGAAAATGAAGAAGAGATTAATTCTACAACCTTTAGACCTAATTTCTCACACAGCTGCTACAAAAAAACACCTATCTAAACTATCACATAAACAAAAATAATATGGTGACATTTCTACATTATCAAAATTATACAATACCGCTGTGTTTGTAAAGGTTGACATTTTGAAGAGATATTTTCTAAAAAGTTTAAATACATTTTACATCTTGCATAATTTGGTTTACAAATGAGTAAAAAAAAGATCTATTTAAAGTTAAAAAACTACCAACAGCAGCCACTTTGTTAAATACAACACAAAAATTGCAAAATCACAGATGTCAAGGATAGATCAACAATATAAGTATTACTTTGAAGTAAAATTACAATGGAATGTTGCGGAGATTTTCACCTAAAGAAATACCCCAACAGAATTCACTTATTATGAACACACATTTGATATCAGATCTATGTTGTGTTTTTCATGCTCATACCTTGTCATGCAAGGTAGTGTTAAAATATCTTTTTGAAAAGATGCTCTTGCATATACACTGTATAATAAAAAATATGCAGTCTGTTTTGTTAACATAAAACTGATCCTTATTAAAATATGGCAGACATACTAAAAGTCCCACGTGTCCAACCATTTCAGGCCATACATTGTGGCATTCACATCAAGAGCTGTTGGACCTGATGTACCATATGCCAGAGGAGAGAAAAGATAAAAGCTGTAAAGGAAGAAAATCTCAATTAGCAAAAGATATACAGGCATATTTTATATCTGCTAACTATAAAAGATTCTTCTTTATCAATATCTTTTCTTATTCTGCAAGAGTTACCAATGACCATAAAACAGAAGACAAGACAATACCTCTTCACAATATTTTACAATATTAGGACTACTGTTTTATATTTTAAAATGTTCTTAAAATCTGACCACATATTCTACACAGTAACAAAAAAAATTGTCAAGTTCAGTGTTACAGTCTACCTGTAAAAGATGCCTGCTAGGATAACACCAAGAGCTGTGTGGTATACATTCATGGCAATGTGTTTAGAGAAACAAAGCCTAATACAAGTTAGTCCATACTCTATTACAACAGCTGAAAACAAAAACTGAAATCAATTAATGGACTCTTTTTAAAATGTACAAGTTATATATCAACTGTATCTCTTTATCCATTCATTAGTGATTAAAAAAACATTTATTTATGAAAGCTGTCAATATCACCATTTCTAAAATTTTAAATGGTAGCAATAATTTACATACACCCATCTAATTTAATATCTACATTTAGCATCATATCCATGCATCCATTTCTCTGAGAATACAACATGGTACCTAAAACCACAACAAATTATTCAAAAAGTTCATGTTAAAAACACACTACCTGAGAACATAGCATTAAACAGATATGCTGGGAAGTAATGATGGAAGTAAAGCACTCTGCCCATGGTCCAGAAAGGTATGTAGTGTAAGCCCCACCCTCCTATCAGCCACATACAGGCACTGAAGCGCGAGCTTCTATAATCTAGAAATTGACAAAAAATAGACAACTTTACATTCTAGAAACGAATCCCTTCTAGTAAATTGTCTAACCACTAGAAATTAAATATGATGAGATATGATGCTGAATAACAAATTTGTTTTTTAGTAAGATTTAAGGTCCTTCTTTCAAATAAATCTCAAAAAGATATGAATAAATGTACAGCATTTGTTCGAACAAATATTTTACCTCTGATTTCCTGAGGTTGTGTTGTTCCACGTTTGCTCTTCACTCCATCATATATAAACAGCATGATGAATACAGCCATGAGGATTAAGTTACCCCAGAAAAGTATGGGGTTTCCTAGCAGTAAAACCCTGAATTTGCCCCCCGAAAAGCTCTGCCCCTAAAAATAAACAAAATTTGAATAATTAATGAATTACAATAAACCACTTGCTTCTAATTATTTTCTGAAGACATAGTAATAAAGATGTTTAAAATTTAAAGATCTGTTTAACTTGTTGATAAAACTTCTCATTCTTTTATTTTTTTCCAGTACTTACACTCCAATCTAAAGGCCACTGCCAAGGCTGAGAAGTTGCCTCATCTTCCTTAGGTTTTAAACCTCTATTTCCCTAAAACATATATTAAACCTGTCACTCTAAAATAATGGTATTTTAATATTTTGATATCATTACAATCACCAAACAAAGCAGTATTAGTGTTGCATACTAAGGAAATACATAGGAATCATGGACACTGATGTTTGTAAAATTAATCCTGGTTCCTAATTTTGGTCCTGTTGGCTTACAAACTTTTAATTTGTTTCTGAAACAAAACCGTACCTTCCCCATCACAATGTGTGACTCTATAAACTTCTGAATGAAGTTAGGAGCATGATTAGCAAATGACACACTGGGCACTGAAAAGAAAGGATTTTGTGACTTTTATATTTAAATTATTTGTTACATATACCTAGATATGTGTGTGTGTTACATTAAAGGTAAACCGTCTTATGTAGATCAATTTGACCAGCCATTATGCATTACAAGTTTTGACAAATATTTTGTTATTGCAAGTATCCCAGACATAAATTGTACACTTCAACTTTTTCTTTTTCTAAATGGGTATATAAAAATTAAGTCTTTTTCTTCTTATCATCTGATTATCTATAAAACAAAACTGAATTTATTGCTGCAAAATGTCTTCACTCAAAAAAAAAAGTATAACCTACATCTGGAATCTCTGACCTCTTCCACATTCCAGTAGGACTTTACATCAATTGCATGTGGATTGCAAGTCACTTCCATTTGATCCCAGCCCCTGGAAACAAGGACTTAACATCATGAATACTCATCTATATGTCACTTTTCATTTATAAAATATTATTGCATTAAATCAAATATCTTTTATGCAAATCATACATATAACATGCTGAAAAACACATTTATGAGTCCAAACACATTTAGACATTTTCACACGTAATCTTGAAACAATCTTCTTTAATGTAATAGTGAATGTTCTATTGCATGAATATTTGAATTTCAGAATGTTTGCAAGGTTAACCATGGTACATATACCAGGTATAACATGCTTACCACTTAGGGAGTTTCCTCTCTGTCTGAGTAACAGCACAATTCTGCCCAAGGTGTCTTAGAGTAAATTTTTTCTTCACAGCTTTCACCACCTCCCCTGGGACTCCACCAACTATTTCTACTTGGAAATTATCATGGTAGTCTCCAGTGCCATTCTAGTAGAAAAATAGACAAAAAACATAACACGTTTACATAACTAAATTTCAACTGACTACAGTGTACTCCTGCACAAATCAACACCTTCGTTTGCTTAATTTACAAGTTTTAATGACATGAAGGTCTTTTTCAGTGACTAGTTTGCTAAAGAGCTTCAAAACCAGACTCCCATCTGGATGAGAAGGGGCGTCTCATTTTTGCAACAGCCCAAACATCTCACTGTCATCGGCAGCCAGCATGAAGGATTAATTTATAATGTGTAAACAGTGAAAAATCAAGCACATGGACATTAAGTTTTTTTCATTAAATAATAGTATTGTCTCATGGGATGTTGAGATGTAGATGTAAACCTTTACTGCATGAAAAAACTTGGGATAACTAGTACAATATTTGGAAAATAACAAGGGGTGTTTGTAAGACAAAGATAAGCCCCGGAAGGGGGGGGGGGGAATTGTCCTCCATTTACTGGTTAAACAAATTTTTGTGTTGAACTTTGACCTACTGACCTCAAAATCAAAAGGGGTCTTCTACATGTGATGACAAACCTCCTTCTAGACCAAAACTTTCTGTATTTATAGGTCGGACAAAGTCTGGTTTATGGACCAACCACTGGACATATGCAAAGCAATATATTCATTGTTCTTTGAAGGATACCATACTAAATAGGTTCTAATACAGAATAAAATGGATGTTTTAACTCTCTACTTACCATTCCATAACATGTGACTTGATGGTGTCTCTGTGTCAAAGGTGCCTTCTCCTTGTGGCTGTGTAGGTTTCTGGTGGTTCTGTAATCAATCATTACAGTTAAGGACAAAGTACTATATATGAAAGACTCATATTATAAGACATAATAATTTTAACACATTTTTATGTAAGTTTACACCAAATCCTTGTGTTGCCACTCACTGCACACTGCATAACTTTTTCTCTCATGTAAGTTATAATCTTTCATACAGTAGGAATTTTTAAATTGAATTACAACAATACCACACATTTTCCCAACTTAACATCAGTTCAATTAAAAACTTTGCCTTTAAAAGAGTTCAGTGATTTCATAAATAACTTACACTTAATTACATATACAAGTATCCCATGACTTAATAGAAAATGAGTTAATTCTTAATAAGAGCAGAGAATTAGACATGTTCAAGATTAAATACATGTACTTACGCCACATGCATCAATCTCACTACATCCCCATGTCTGACATACTCCACTGGGTCTTCTATTTTGGAATTCACATTCTCTTTCATAACAATCCACAGGTTATTGTCATCCTTGTGACTGTAGGCTGTGACCTAGTAAAAATAAATCAAAATTTTAGTTTAACTTCAATTGTAACAAACTGTACATGAATCTACACATTTTCTCACAGTTGCAGAGCATAAGGAAAGAATTCTGCCCTTCCCTTTCCCCTGTGACACATCCATCTTATTAGAAAAGTGTTCTACTATATAACGAAATCATCATTTTATGTATTAACGAGCTAACTCAAAATATTGAGGTATGAATGTTCATTCTTAAAAATGATTACAGAGTGAAATTTTAAAGCAATTAAACATTGCAATTAATGAAAACAGCATGTTATTAAAACAGTGCTAGATAAACTGTGTTATGTATTACCTGATATTACTGCATTATTGTCATTCTTACCTGCTGTTGTTTCGCCCCGATTCCCTCAGGATATAGATGAAAATGAGAATGAAGGTAAGCTCCACCTGTTTGAGAGTTCTTTACTGTTATTGTAGAGCCATAGGCAACATCTGTGAATACAAAATATAAAACATTACGAAACAGTTGCTAACAGTTAATTCTCACTTGTTTCCTGAAATATGTGACGGATCCCTTTTTCATTTCAAAGGCATTAAGAGTGAAAGAATCTAAGTAACTCATAACATTGCTTTCGGGTGTTTTCACTTATAACTACATAAACTTTGATATTTGAAATGTGAATTCAAATCCCACAGCAAAAGTGCATACCTTCTGGCATACTTGCACCATGGAGTTTATTGCCCTTGAGTGTTGACTGAAAAGCAGAGCTGTAGAAGCCATCACCAGTACCACTGGAGAAAGAGAAAGCCCTTTTAAAACAGCACTCGGCAAAACACCACATAACTCACCATAACATTATAAAAATACAAGAATCTTTTTAAAATTTCATCAAAAAAAATGGTATCATACATTTTAGTAACGTATTCTGTGTCTTACTTACGTTTCATTCAAAATTTTCAGATGTATTCCAAATAGGATGATATACAAAATAATGGGGAGAATGATAAGGCACACAGCTCTGGCAAGGAAGTGCTTCACCAACAACACCTGTAGACAAATATGCAATTACAGTAGCATTAATACATACAGTATAACCACTGTTTTAATACAATGATATTTTACTTGATAAAATAATATAGAGCATTATAATAATAAAAAAAGAAATGATTGTTTGAATACACTCACTCTTTTTACTTTAATTGAATAAATTAGAATATTGCAATAAAATTCATTAAATTAAAATTAAATTTCCTAACAAATCAAATTTTCCTCAATAAATCAGCAATTTTTTCCTACTCACAAATTAAACCATTTATCAATCTCAAGGTTCGTATTGGGAAAGGTGAGTATTTTTTTCCCAAATTCAGGATATGTTGATACAGAAAATATGACTTGGAAATGTTCATACATGGATAGTAAATGATATCTTATAGATAGACATCATTTATTGGAATTGATTAATTGTAAGTGTGGTGAGGATACTTACAATACTATTCTCTTTGTTCCCTAGTAAGTCCCACAGTTCTTTAATGGTACTAAACCCAACCAAGAGGATGACAAATAACCCTACAAACTTGACACTAGAAGTAGAATAAACTATGTCATGTTCAAACAAGCAGTAAATCATAAAAGAAAAAAAAATTGTCATCCATTTTCAAAAAGAATATATCTATCAGTCTTGATTGTAGCTACCAGAAAACAAATATTACTAAATAAAATGACTTTCCTTCTTAGCATATTAAAAGTTACTCAATGTGAAAATAAACTTACACCCACTTAATCAATAACTTTCATGAATGCAAAACCCAAATTAAACCCCTGTACCAAAAATTTGACTAACCTAATTGCACAAGCTAGACTTGTTCCTGTCAAAGTTAGCCATAGCCACCATTGTGGAGAAAATGAACTGGATCAGAATGAAGGCAAAAAAAGAGTAGCAGCATAATATTTACAACAACTTATTAAGTTTGTAACTACATACAGTGCATACAATAACTTAAAAAACATAAAGGAACCACAATTAAGAAGCAGGTTATGTTTCCATAACATCAACAACAAATTCGTATTGTTTAGATGTTAACAGACATCTTTTTACCAGGCATTATACGAGTAGGTTTTTTATGTAGCAGGTTATGTTTCCATAATATCAACAACAAATTTATATTGAATATATGTACATAAGACATCTTTTTACCTGGCATTATACGAGTAGAATTTTACATAGCAGTATGTTGATGCTAAAATAAAGAACATCATGATCGGGTCCAGCAGGATGTATCTTGACAATATCAGGGTCCCAGTGTCTGGAACATAGGCAAATACATGTACTCTTTATCTGTGGTTAAGAATAATTTCACTTTGACCTAGTTAAAAAAATTATTTATTTATTTATTTGCTTATTTATTTAATAACTAAGTAAATAAAATAGAATTATAATAACCTTATATTAATTTTATCATTTTTATTTGGACAATATATCATTTGTTGAAAATTTTCATCAAAATTACCTAAACAATACAAATATACAACTACAGCCAAGGATAATACAAAAATCAATCTGGTTAACTCATCTAATTCGTTGACCTCACAAAAAAAAAAAAAAAAAAAAAAAAAAAAAAAAAAAAAAAAAAAAAAACTTACCAAAGAGTATGAATAAACCTGCAATAATGGATGCTATTATAGAATGGGTGAGTTCCCAGACAATACCAAAACCGAGTGGGATTAGACTAACACCCAATAAGGCACAGAACTGAAAGAAATGTGAATTTATAAAAAATTTATTTGAAAGTACAGGTTAATTAGTACAGAACTTCCCAAGTGTGCTTGACCATCTCAAATAAAGTTATAATAGATAACTAAATCTGAGATAAACACGTAAAACAACACTTGCATGGTGATCCATAAAAAGAAGTTGTTATTTTATAAATCGAATATCAAACTTTTTCTCTGTTACATTAGCAAAAAAAAAAAAAAAAGCCCCAGGAAGCCTTTCAGGCTTGTTGAAAAATTACACATACGTATGTCAGAATGGTGAAAAACAAATTGTTGCTGGCCAATTAGCACCAATAAATTGATAAATTTCACAGAGATTTCTGGCTCGTTTCCACGATCTCTTGCATTTTTGTATTGGGTTGGAAGTAAACAAGTTTTGCCATACTAGTACCTGCAGATCTATATATTATAGATGTAAACCTTTTATAATTGTAAAAGCAAATTCTTTTCTATAACACAAGCACACTCACAATTCTCATGCCAACATAGTTGATGTCTGGAGGATATGTCATTCCTGGTTTTTCAAAGCTAAATTCACCATTATAACCAGTAAGCTTGCCAGACAACCCAATCAGCATCTGTAACAAACAGTACAATCAGTTTTGATCATTGTTATCATCAAAATGTTCATAATGTGGTCTTATGACATTCAACTTTGAGTTATGATTGCTAAATTTTCATTTACCAAACTGACAGTATACTGGTAATGGATTAACTGCTGTTACTTTACAATTTATTCTCTTGAACATTACTCCTTAAACCTTATGATCTTCTTAATCACTACATATAATATGTATTATTATTATTATTATTGAATTGTGACAAGCTCTGATCCCATTATGTAGTTCAAGTCAATTTACCTTTCCTAATGGTGGATGGACATCAAAGAAAAAAGTCCTATTGATATAGTAGCTGCCCATTTTTCCAAAATGAGTTTCATCCCAACTGAAAGTAAAAAAATAGATATATCACAGGTACTCTCACGCATGAAGGATGGAATTTTGACTCTATAAAATCATGTTTTACAAAAACTATAATACATATATAGTTTAAATTTGGCAGGAATATCATTTATTGCAAGCTTAATCTTGTGACTTAAAAACATAAAAAAATATTGATTAGTTTTTGAAAAATAACACTACAGATGGAAAAAAAACATTTAAACGGACAGAAAAATATGGAAAAGCTGTTTTATCAATCAACGTTAACTTCAAACTGCTCTGTTTTGATTTTTGAAAGACAAAAATAGATTGCAAAGGTTATTTCAGTTTTATATTTATTAGAAATGTAAAAGGTGAGATTTGAAAAAGAACTTTTTTGAAATTTTAAAGTTTAAAAAATAATGTCCAATTACAGATGGAAAATTATGGATGAATAAATTTGTCCACAGTCCAGAACTTACACACATATGCAATAAACAACATGAAAGGTACAGGTTAAGGTGAAAACAAGCTCAATTGATGAGACAGCTCAGGGTCTGAATCAAGTTCTCAATTTTCCCTTTAGGCTTAATTAGTATCTCCAGCATTCTTGAATTGCATATAAAAAAATTTGCTGTCGCTCAAGACAAAATTTGAAAAACCACTCATCATCAAATTATCACCTGGTAAATCGAATAAGTTTTAGGACCGCACTTTTCAGCTTATGTTTATGGTTTCACTCATGATAAGAGAAACATGATTTGAAGAGACAAAAACTGGGAATAAAATTTAAAGTCCCCTTTTCTACCATACAACAAGATGAAGAGTTAACCCATACTACCAGTTTGAACAACAGCCTAAAGAATTTGGGTGGGGTACAAACAATTATGACTATTACTATGTATCAGAGAGAGTAGGTTATAACAATTGCATGTAATATGATATCATCTTTTGTCACTCAGGCCAAGGACTACACACACCTTGCTTAGAGTGCATTCCCACAGATTTAGATCGATCCATCTAGATCGACCTAACTCCCTGGGGGTTCACGCTAAATTGATGTCAGCCGAGCACGCACGGTAGTTAATTACCCCCTTAAAGCTTTTAGTAGACGGGACAGACGCTTAAGCTGACTAAGCTGACAGTAATCTAGTGAGACTCCCCACAGGGATAGATCGATCTAAAAACTGTGGGAATGGGGTCTTAGACTCCAGTGGAGACTCGACTCCAGTCAAATACTACTTTGATGTCATTACAGCTTACCATATATGTCTTGGAAGCTCAATTTTATGCAGTCTAGTGACAAATGCTGCAACTACTAATGAGCCGAAAACCATCCACCATTTAGCTTTGTTCACTTCCAAATCAAGCGGCGTTTTCCAAAACAAACCTCTTTCGTGCTGACCTAACGTTGTTGTTTTGGATTCGGTTGACGATGCCTGTGTATCTGTTTCCACGTTATCCTCCTCCCCTCTGTTACCTTTTTGACGTTTGCCTTTAGGAGGCTTGATATCTGTTTTTTCTGACATAATCAGCTAATTTTCGCTAAATTTTAACTCTCCATAGGATAGATACTGTCGATTTGGTCAGCAGCTCCCCGTTTCAACAGAAGCTAATTTGTCTTTCCAACGTTCGCTAGATGGCAGCAGCAATCTGCTGCACAGCGACCGCACTAACGGGGACCTGTCCTTGGAAATGGAAAAATTGTATTTACTTTAATTTTTTTCCTTCAAATTTGTATTTCAAAATAAATTAAAACGACATATATTAATGATCTAAGGACAATAACGCATTAAGTTTTTTTTTTTTTTTTTTGTTGGTGCGAAACTATGAATTCCAGCCATCAAATGTCTGTTCGTCCTGTCGTTACCATAAACACAAATAGCACGTAATTGGGTTGACTCTTAATTTGTCCAAATATGTTTTCAGACGAAACTCTCGAATGCGTAGAATTTAAAACTTCATGGAAAAAGGAAAGGTCTGTCACAGACAGTTATGCACAGACCAGGGAAATACTCACAGACGAATTGGGGATACAGTCTAGAGAAACGGTGGACACTGAAATCCAAACAGAGGAAGAACAAGATAAAGAATTACATTTGCTGAATGATAATCCTGAAAGTCTGGGTTCATTTCTAAACAGTGTGTACCCTATTATGTCCAAAGAACTCGAGAAAAACAGTAGAAGTCACGCCTTTGATGGATATGATGTTAGTTGGGAAGAAAAGGCAGTTGCAGTTGACTGCATTCACACTCTGAGTCATAGCGCATTGAATGAAGAACTGCAGGTCACGGGGCTCTCGTGGAATTCTACAGGCTCAGTATTAGCTGCAGCCTTTGGAAAATTTGACCACGAAGACTGGTGCACCCATAAATCTGCACTGTGCTCCTGGAACTTGGACAGAAGAAATATTAACTCCACAAAACCAGACATAAGTGTAGACCTTCCTAGTTGTTTGATGTGTATTGCTTTCCACCCCAAACAGCCAAGTTGGATAGCTGGAGGTACATTTACTGGTGAAGTTATGCTATGGGATACCAGCAAAGAGGATGAGATGTTAATTGCATCTTCAGGAATAGGAGGTGATGCCCACAGAGAACCTGTGTCAAAGCTGCGTTGGATACCAGATCCAGAATCTAGGGGAAAGAAATTCAACATAGTCAGCATCAGCAGTGATGGGAAAATCTTGGTATGGCAGATATTTCCTCATCAGCAAGCTCTCAGGCTGATTGATGGTTTTGTTCTTCTCACCGAATCTCTGCCCAGAAACTTTCGTCCTAAGGGGCAACGCGGAGACCAAGAGGTGGGGGTCACTTGCATTTCATTCAGTTATGAAGATCCTATGACTTTTGTCATAGGTTCGGAGAGTGGATGCATCTTCAAATGTTCAACAAATGCCAAAGGCACCCCTGCTGGGAGGCACATAACCTCCTCCGTCCCACTAAACTCGCCAGTCACCTTTGCATTCAACCCACACCATGGCCCAGTATATGATGTCCAGTGTTCCCCATTTCACAGAAATTTATTTATGTCCTGTGGATCGGACACCTCGGCCCGTCTCTACAGCATGCTACAGGGACATCCTATCACAATAATGGAACCCAGTGCAGGTTATCTGTTTTCATCCAAGTGGTCCCCAGTTCGCCCAATGGTGTTTGCAGTGGCAACAGAAGATGGTTATCTGTTGATATATGATTTGAAACATAGCCATGTCACCCCTGTCCAGAAGCTGGAAGCCAAAGAGCCTTTGTATGCACTGGAGTTTAATGTACACAAGTAGGTTATATTTTAGTGGGAGTGGAGTGAGTGCAAACACCACTCAAGATATGTTCCAAGTTACAGATATGTGTGCCTATTAGATCTTTTTTTAAGTGTTTAAAGGGTTGGTTATTTAAAGTCAATTTTATAATCATGGTCCATATTTCATGTTTTAAGATCTTAATGCTTGTTTTGAATATATTTTCATAATCAAAAGATGTTAATTGCTAAATTTTAATTGTTTCAGACGACATCTGTTGGCTACTGGAGGGGGGCGTGGAACCATCCAGGTGTGGCATCTTAGTGATGACTTGGCATCCCAGGGATCAAGAGAGGTGGAAATGCTAGCAGAGATAGCAGAAACCAGTGATGACCAATAAAAATGGCTGTTTCAGACATGTCATGGTTTTAAAGTAGCCAGTCAGATCTGTCTTAAAAGGCCCTGTTACACTGGGCTTGCAACTACTTGGAGAATTAATTTTCTACCACTCCCTACATAACAAAAGAAAGCTGCAGTGTTGAAAGTTCATACGTAACACTGATGCATGAATTTGATATAAACTGTCAAATATTGTCAAAACGTCAATTTTGAAAGAAGAGAGAATGGGCAATTTCACTAAACGTTTGCAATTCTGGCCAAACAGGGGCTTAAAGAAAACAAGACAATAAAGATCTCAAATGTACATTCAAATATCAGCAACAGGACTGTTAAAATATCAAGGAGTATAATGTGAAAAATTGACAAATATCCTGTGAATATCAGGAAAATTAACCCTACATAAATTTAATGCAAATGATAATGATTGATTAAAGTTTACTTTGTTTTAAGTTTACAAGCAATGTTGAACTCAAGTTCATGAAAAAAATACGTATTTAAAAGCGCTCTTTCCTTAGACTATTCAACAAAGTCAGACAATTCTTTAGTTAAAGTTACATATGAAGTCAAACCTTTGCCAATAAACCTGACCAAATGACACCATTTAGCTTCAAATAGCATCACCTACAGAAATACCAAAGGGTATGGTCTCATAATTCCAAGCAAATGACATTTTAACAGATATTTACTCCTGTTTTATGTACAGACACAGATCTGACTATACGTTTAGATGTCTCCTGCATCTGTCGTTGCCCTCTGCCGTCACCATCCTCACCGTTTTCTTTCAGTGATAACACGATAAATGGAAAAACATGTTCTTTCAAAGACAACAACCCATTTATTCTATTCATGAACAGGTGCACAGAAGACGAAAACATTTGGTTCAAAACAAACCATTTCACTTTATTATATACAATCTTTTGACAAAAAAACACGTTCTAGTTATCTTCAACATATATTCAATGTTCCAACCACCAACCTGTTCAGAGATGTTGGTGCATAATTACATCCCCCTTAAAAGAGTACACAAGTTCCATACTTGCATAATATCTGATAATTTATGGCATCTGGGTGTACCAGATGCCCATTAAGTGCAATATTTCAATACTTCATTAATTCAAAACCATGAAACTAAGACTGGGTTCCCATGCCTAGATCGATCTAACTAGATCGACCCATCTCCAAGGGGTTTCTCATTAAATTGCTTTTAGCTTAAATGGCTTATATGTCTGGCATGCCAACTGAAGCCCCTAAACAATAGTTAATTACCCTTTAACAGCTTTAGTGAGCATGCCGAACATCTAAGCCGCTTAAGTTGATAGCAATTTAGTGAGAACCCTCTTAGAGATAGATCGATCCAATGTTAGTACGATAGTCTCTGGGAATGGTCTCTAAGATCTGCTCAATACATGGCATAGTTTGAAATTGTCTGGAGGGTTAACTCTTTTTTCATCATTTCTTTGATTCAATCGCACTGGAGTTTGACTGAAATTCAAAAAAGAACTATACAATGCCTTGTCACTTCTTTATTTCTAATATCTCAGACGTAAATATTTCTGGGAAATAAATGGATAAATAATGCTGCAAATATCAGCAAATAATTTATTTAATGCAATACTCCACTGCATTTACAATAATCAAAAAAGATTCTAATGTACATTTATACTGCATACAGTGTAAACAAAAATTACATTTTTTCACCATTTAGCTACATGTAAACTTAACCAACCTCTACCTCAGTGCTTCCTTTCTCTTCCTTTTTTCTCTTCCTCAAATAATTATCTTTGATCCAAAGCACCTCTGCAGCTTCTGGGAATGAAATGAAATGAAATGAAATGTTTGCATCAGCTTTTAAAGGGATGAAATAAAAATTTTGACCATGCTCCAAATTGATACATTACTTTTTTTTAACACAGTTCAATTTGACAGAGATAGACACCTCTATAAAAAAATTTGAATTTAGTAAACCAGAAAAGGAAATAATCAGGACAAAGATGGGTAATATATTGATAACTTGCAACTGCCTTTAATTAAAGGTATACTATTTGGGCATAAAAATGTCCCAAAGTCAAATTTGCTATGTCTACAAATCCAGCAAAGCTACTTATCTTTTCCGATTCAGACTATAAAAATGATAAAACATTAAACAACTTAAATGAAAATATCTGCTGTTGATCTTCCTTTATGTTAAGAAAGACATGGCAGTCTAAATGTTACAGAAAACATTTAGAACTTAATTAGAAATGGTATAAAATAATAAAATCAATACTGCACAACAGATTTGGTTGGAAAATCTAAGATAGGATACCTTGTATGGTAATTAATTGTAACATTATAAAACTGAAAGTGACAATGTGTGCCGTAAAACACACTTAAAGTACATGAACCACTTATTGTTGAACAATGATGACCATCTTGACTTGGCTTTTAATGGTGTAAAACCCAGAAATCAGTGGAAGAATTGAGCTAAAAAATTATGGCAGAATTTGAAAAACCTAAGTAAAAGCTTGGGTTAAGGACTTTTTAAAATTCCACAGGTTATGGCGAGTGCCAGGAAAGGACAAATGGTTGGTAAGTTATAGAAAAATATCCTTTACCACAAGAAAATTGGTCAGTGCTGGAAATTCTTACATTATTCATCTTTCACCCCTTCCTGGTTATAAAAGTTCATCTAGTTATCACCTGGGGAATCCTATAAATTCTGCAGAATGACACTAAAAACGCTGTGCTTTACTAAAATGCCTAAACATCTATATTTTTCATCAGAATGACTTGAAATATTCACTGTTGATAGAAAAACATTTCAATGTGAGTGTACTCCAAAAATATCCTTAAAAAGTCAATGTGTAGTTGTCATTAAACTAGTGTTTTTCTCAATTTTGCATTATTTTTCTTTTTCTAAATTATTACCAATGATATTTAATGCAGATATAATGCACTAAAATGTAGAAGAATTAATGATCTTTCAAATAAATAGTTATCAATGTCACTTAAAAACCAAAAAAAAGAAAATTCAATATTGTTTTTGCTGTTAAGTTTCATTCAAACTTCTGACGTGAGAGTCATTTTCACATAAAAAAAAAGCAGTCAAGAGTCAGCATATGTAGCACAGTTTTGACTTCAATAAGGGTGGATAAATAATAACTTTTTTGGAAAACTCTAGAGGAACAGGTGTTTTATGAGGCAAAATGTCCATTTTCTGATGCGAAATTTGGGCTACGAGTTTTATTTAGGACGATAATTTCACCAGTTATGGAAACACATAGAAAGCATGTGCAACTATACTGAACAAAAATATAAACGCACGAAAGAATATGTAGATTTATTTTCATATATGGAACTAGAGTATATAGCCAAAAATTACAGCATATATTTCTTGACAAATAGACATCACTTTGAGAGCATTAGGGGAAGTTTAAATGCATAGTCCAAGAAATAGGGCATCAAATACACCATGGGGTCAACATCCTGAGTTCACAGACACCATTTAATTTGTGCAGAGCAGTACACCAGCGGCGCATGGACATCACTAGGTTGTCAATAGAGGCCTAAGGGATATTATCCCATTCCTCCTGGAGTGCTACTCGTGTTCCCAGACGGCTGACAGTGGAATGATGCACATCCAGGCATGCTGCATCTTCTGTTACTGACAAGCCAGCATTGAGCATGCTGATGGCATGCTCCCTCATGGTTCCAGACGTCTGTGGCATGTTGACAAGTGGCAGAAATACACATTTTGGTGTGTCCTTTTATTGCCTAGACAGTAAAGATTGTCTGTGTATTGGTCTTGCAGATTGACCTCTACTCCGTCATGCTCCATTAGTCTTATGGGCGTAAAAACTGAACCTTTGAGTATACTCACATGGAGCGGCCAAGTGAAACCAGACCACTATGATTGATCAAAACAAATCCATCAGTTCACAAATAAACCATCAACCTGGGCATATTTCATGATTATCCATTTCAACTGACCATTTTAGTTTCGTGCATTTATATTTTTGTTCAGTATATGTACCAGGTACATACACATTATATACCTGTATTGAATAAGGTTGGGTGAATCTCAAATGTTTTGATTACCAGGTGTTTTCTATGGCAGAAATTGATACAAAAATACATGTAACAGCTATTTCTTTTTTCATAACAACAATCTAGGTTGATAAAATGGCAGACAAAACGCCCTAACAAGAGTTTCGTCCTGAGCAATTCAATGACCTATAGTTTGTAACATGCATTTTCTTATGTGTTTAGGGTCATAAAATCTACTTTTCTTATATTAACACTGTCATTGATACCTTTTAAATATAAAATGGTTGCCTTGTGTGCTGACAGTTCACTGTCAAGCTTAATAGAAGAGCTAGCCAGAATGTGAGTCTGTAAATTGGGGGTGATAAGATCTAATGAGTTCTGCTAGATGTGACTTATAAGGATCTTAACCTCAAGCAACCAAAAGGTGAATATCTTTAAATCATTAAACTAGACAGCAAAGCTGACAAATATACAGACACCATACAGGAAACAAGGCAGCAAAGCTGACAAATATTCAAATTTTCAGACACAGATTAGAATGCATTAAAAAATGTTTCAGCCAATTTTGATACACTATAACCTCTTTACCACACAAACCACTCAGTAAATTTAAAGTAAAACAAAAATACGGCATGGCAGTTATGGGGCGAACGTCACCAAAATTGTGCAAAAAAAAAAAAAAGAATAATTACCGTAAATATAAACTGATCAAGCCAATTTTTGAAAGCAACCTGCCTCTTTACCAAACAAAGCCACTCAGTAAATTTAATGTAAAACAACAATAAGATTTGACAGTTATGGGGTGAATGCCACCAAAATTGTGCAAAAAAAAAAAAAGAAAGAAAGAAAGAATAAGTACCGTAAATTGTGAACGGACCATACCAATTTTGGAAAGCAACCCGTTTCTTTGCCAAACAAAGCCAGTCAGTAAATTTAAAGTAAAACAAAGATATGATTTTAAAGTTTTGGGGCAAACATGACCAAAATTATGAAAAAAAAAAAAGAATAATTACCGTAAAAGTGAATGGATCATGCTGATTTTGGAAAGCAATCAGGTTTTTACCAAACAAAGCAACTCAGTAAATTTTAAGTAAAACAAAAATACGGTTTGGCAGTTATGGGGCAAGCGTCATAAGTCGGACAGCAACAGCGACAGCACCAGTGATGGCAACAACACAGACAGACAGACCAATCAGAATATATATGGACACTAACAGTGTCCATATATAAAGAGGATGGATGATAAATCTTTGCTCTACATGTATGAAATGGGAAGCAGTCACTATCATAAATTGAGAGAATACCCTGTGTTTGGATCTCCAAGAATATCTTTCCTCTCCTTGTGTAGAGCATTTCCACAGAATAATGTTGTATAATAATACATTCAGGGAACAAATAAAGCTGTGCTGAAGAGTGAGATACATGAATAGTGAAGGATAGATGGTAAAGGTATATGACTATTAAGGAGTTCAATGTCAACACAGCAAAGAATGTCATATTGGGGTTACATATTGTAAGCTAAGTGCTATTATGAGGCTTATATCTTAAACATCTGCCATTTTTAATTCTTGCATTCTCAGACAGGTACTGCTTCGTTAGTTCCCTGAATGTATTACAATCCAACATTATTCTCTTGGGAATATTCTTCTCAAACATAGGAATTTTTTTTTTTTTTTTTTTTTTTGAGATCTGGCATTGGAGATTCCCTTAGCAACTTCTTTGCTTGCTCCAGCTTTTAAAGTGATTTCATACATGATCATCTACTAGTAGAACAAAGGTACATGTATATCACCCATCCTGTCTCAATAATTCAAAAAATATTCAATTTTTGGTTAGATTATTGCTCATTCCTTACAATTCATATCCAACAGATGTTGAAGATCTTATCACTCCTCATTTTGACTGACAAAGATTATTGTGGTTTGTTGTCCATCAGCCTATCTGGTATCCAAATTCACTCTTAAATGTACCAATCACAGTATTAACATCAGAAATAGATTCCACAACCCCAAAAACATGAGAGAAGACAAATGACACACTACAGTGCCTTTACTTGTTGTTGATGAAACGCAAGGTAGGCCGTTTTGGCTACCACTTTAAAAAATTGTCATTTTACCTCCCTAAATAATTGTTTAAGAAATAAATGGTTGTCAGATTTGTATTCAGTATCAAATTTAGCCTCAGAAAACACCTGCTATGGACATTTTTTGAGATTTATCCTTGCCTACTTCTATGTCGTCTTCTATGACTGCCCTGCAGTAAATTGCCAAATCTCAAGATATTTGGTTTAGAAATATTGAAAATAGAACCAGTAAGGTTCTGACCAGGAAAAGATTTATGATCAAAAACATATTCAAAATATACATTTGTATCAAAATAATTCAGTACTCAAGTATTCAATGTTTACCTTTGTCTGCCTCATTCATCTTTTTCAAACTGAGCAAAGCGAAAAGCTTCCTATAATTTACTGGGTACTTGCTATCTAACTTCTGTTCTCTTGTCAGTTCCACAGCTTTTCTAAATCCTTTCACATCCTCCCTGAAAAAAAATTAACATCAAAACAGTTACTAAAATGCACCAACTTCCAACATCATTCCTTAACATTTGCTATGGCAAGCTGTAAAATAAATAATCTACATATAACTAAACCAAGACAGCAAAGCTGTAAATGGACAAATACATGTAAATGGCAAAAAAAGATGGATGCATTGGCTTTTAAACAGTCTAAAGGTAATGAGTAACTAATTTAATAGTGTCAATGATTGTTTTACTTGCAGAATGTCAGACTCATGAACATATAAAAGTGAAAAACATGAAAAATGTCAGTCTTTAAAAAATGAGTACATTACAATAAACTTCGTAACTTTAAAGTTACATCTAAACCAAGCATAGTTTCCCTGAAAACACATATTAATCACTTCTACCACTACCTGACTCAACTCAACATATAAACCAAATTAATCAGTGGTCTGATCAGCCAAAACAATGCTTTAAAAATGCAGCTTCTTCAAATTTCTGGTTGTAACTTGACCTACTTATCTGTCCCACCAGTTCATAAAAGTCTGCCAAATATGAAGTAATGTATGGCATATTATTACTGCATGCGCAATAGCATAATAATTGAAATGAGGTCTGGCAAAAATGACCAAGGGTTATATATACATATAACTCATAAAGAAAGCAGAAAATATCTGTTCAAATATCATTTTTCAAAACATATGAAATTGCCTTATTCGCATTTCTTTAAGTTATGCTGTTTGAAATAATATGGTGACATTTGGTTGTGTCAGTGGCAAAGATTTGACATGTTAACTTGCTTCATAAGTAATTTTGATAGAAACTTGAGGACCAGAGAGGCGATGCCACAGTTTACTAGGTACAGCTGTTCAGAAACTAGTGACATGAGGAAATAAATTTAGAATACTTATAAATTGTGTTTTACACATTAGTGGCAGTGCAGTGTAGAACCTCTATATAAATGGTACTTAATCTATATTTCATTCATTTCATAAAAACAAACAAAAAGAAAAACAGTATTAAGGCACTTTTTTACTTTTTTTTAATACATCAAAAATATTCCCCATTACTTGATATGAATTGACAAAAATTCAAATCAAACCACTTTATGATAGCATAAACCTATATCAATACATGGCTTATGCCATGACAAAGGGAATCACATGGATTAAATTAAATCACCTTATCTGAAATCCATGCCAGTAATGATAGATTAATAACCCCCAATAAGGGTCCCCAACATAGGGCTTTTCACTAGCATGTAATATTTGTCCTAGGAGCTTGAATGCAGTATGGTAGGCATCTTCATTCCAGTTTTCTGACCATCGGAAAGCCATAAGAAGATCCTTGGAACTTTCAAAAACTGCAAGTTTTTGTAATTCTGTTTCTGGGTAGATTCTGTCCTTAAATGTTGCCATATACTCAGCTGCATCTTTTACAGAAAATAAAAAGTTAATCATCATGCATTGTTTACATAACCAAGAGCACTCCAAAATAATTGGAGCATTCATATGTTATACGCAATAAGGATGAGCCATTCCCCAATTATCAACAAATGCTCAATGGCCCGTTTCTCAAAGCAGTAGTTCGTTAGCAATCAGTTGTTAGCCTCTCACTAGTTATCAGTGCCGTTTCACGAAGCTATCGCTAGTTCTCTCACTCGTTATTGTGGCGTTGTTACCATGGATATTTAACGACTAGTTAGACCAGTCGCTAACTCTAGAGTTTCATTGTACGCATGCATAATGAATGAAAAAGAAAGGTTGCTTAGTTACCATTGTCTGTCATTTGTCTCTGTATATAATATGGCGGCTGCCTTTCTTGTTATCTGCGCCACCAAACGACAACATAGACTATGATGTTTTCATCAGAGGCAGAATCTATTAGAATATACGCACGATGATGCAATTTAAGAAAGGTTGCGCCTGGCTGTGACAAAAAGAGCAGCAAAAAGGGTGGTGGAGAGCCCTTACGACGAACTCAAAGCAGACGTTCTTATGCATTTCCAGCCACCAAAAATTGGAGAGTTAGTGCATTTGTGACACTTATACACAAGAGTTCCACTTCCTGTAGACTGTTTTGAGAGTACATGAGTAATGAGAGTACTAACAATCAAACTTTAAGACTGAACTTAGCGATGAAAATTGTTTTCTCGTTAGCAAGATAGTTCAGCAGTTAGTCATTCTAACTAACGACTGCTTTGTGGAACGGGCCCCTGGATAAACAAGGCAGCAAAGCTGACAAATGTACAGACAAAAATAGAAAAGAATTATGCATTATTTTAAAATGTTATTTTGCCAATTTTGATAATACATTGATAATACATTATGCTTATTAATAGCTTAGTCAACACAAAAAAAAGAGCATAACTTAAAAAAAGAAGAAAGAAAAAGAATCTCATCAGGCTGGTTTTCAACCTCAGTCTGTATCTATGTAACATTCATCAGTCCTGTTAGTATGAAGACAATAGGTCAATGTTTTTCTATATAATGTGGTATCTTTATCATATAGTAACAAACATACTTAAATAAAAAAAAATAATAAAAAAATAAAAATAAAACAGCATAACATTTGAAATAAATAATCTGTATCTAATTCATATTCATCAGTACTGTTGGTTTGAAGCCAATGGGTCTGTCAGTTTTTCTTGAAAGGTAAATATGTATTGCATATAGTATGATATACTGTATGCTGAAGAAAAAAGCAGCAAAACTTCAAGAAACATGGTCCAAAATCCAGCTGATTTTCGAACTGAAACTGTATTTTAGTAACACTGTAAATTTGAAGACAGTAGGCCTATTAGTTTTCTTTGAATTTATTATCTGTATTGCATATAATATATTCAGAAAAAACTGTATTACTTCCAGAAAAATAATGCAGTTAGGCTGATTTTCTAACTCATTACAAGTTATATTTTAGTTCAATGATTCTTTTCTGTCAGTCCCCATAATAAGATTTCCTTCAATTTTGATACAATATTACATAATGCTTAACAGCAAAAGCACCACCATTCTTTTATAATGAAATAAAAGTATCATGGATATTCAGGAAATGCCTTCAAGCCCATGGAAGTTAAAAGTCACTCCTTGAAAATGCCATGATGTGAAAAACTGTGTTATTTGACGAAAATTAGTCAGTTATGTAAGTTTGAAGACAAAAGAAAAAATGGTTTTCCACTTATCGAGTCATCACTGAAAGTGCACGTGCGACAAGGGCAACTACAGACGTAGGTGATGGCTATAGGTGCAGACACATCTGTGTCTGTACATAAAAATATTTAGTTGTGCATTATGATAGATAGCTTTGAAAAATTTATTGTCCCAGTTGATTGACATGATAGTGAAAGAAATTGTCTAAAACTCCTTGAAGGAGGAACCCTATATAAAACAGGAGACTACTTGGGAGGGCTCATTTTTAACATAGGGGCAAAATTCAAAATCACATTTGGATTTACCATACACGATATATTGGACTTCCACATCACTTAGCTCTGGACATTATTTGAAGTTGTCACTGAGCTTGAAATGAAATGGTAATGATACCAATAACCACACCCACTTCAGTCTCAGCTCTACATCGTACATCATAGAAAATCAAAATTTCAGTCTTTACGGAATTTTATGGATGATTGGATTACACAATTGTGTCAGAGTCTCAAACCAAAGACATTTAATGGGGTAAAGGTTATTAGCATAAACAAATGAGTTTTATTTTCTATGTAATTAAAAAGGTTGTATTTACTTGCATGAGCCCCGGATCTAGCAAGAGCAGCTGCAGTGTCCAGGAGCACTTCCAGGTGAAACTGATGCTGTGGATATTCCTTGTCTCTGTTAAAAAAAATACTCAGTATATTTAGTATTAAATCGCAAAAATGTTTCCTTTAACTTATCAATAAATTACGCTTAGGAAGAGATTGTTACGTCTGGAAATTCATTCAATATTAAAATTATGTTGGGTATCAGTGGTAACTTTATCAATGTATCAATGACAAAGATAACAACAGACACAGGTAATGATTATATGTGCAGATACACTGTGTCTGAACATAATAATGACAGTCTTTTTAATTTAAAATCCAAGTTTTGAAATCAATATCCACAAGGATGTAATATTTCCGAGTAATCACGAGTAATCACAGATTATTTGATCTGCTTTGGATCACACATTACTACACTTATACAGTGAATATTTGTATTTACAGTAATCCAAAGAAGTGCTTCATTGTCTCCAGGTCAGTTTTTATGCTGCAGCTGTGTAGAGCTTGTTCTAGAGTTCTCTCTGTCACACCAAATGTTGACATCATTTTTTCCACCAATCTTCTGATATATTCTGGTTTTGTTGACTTGAGAATGAAATAAAAACCCTTTTAACACATAAATACTCACAATGCACAAAAGCATGAATAATAACTGGAAATACTTAATAATCTTAGCAAGTATGGTAACATTTCTAGTAATATTAATATTAGATTGTTTTAATTAAGACCTTGAAAGAGAGAGAGAGAGAGAGAGAGAGAGAGAGAGAGAGAATTCTTACTGGTTTTCCGATGATTATTCTTGACAATTCATTAATATTCTGTTTAATTTCACCAACTGGTAATCTATCACGTTGCCACTTTTCCACCAATTCAGACATATCTGCCATGGAAATAGCCTGTTTTTTCAAGATTTTCATCTGTAATGTAAAACAGTTGATTTAACAATAGCTAAGCCATATTATATCTACATATATATTTTTTCATATCAGTTTAACTTGTAACTAAATGAAAACAACCAAACAAAAAACAACAACAAAGCAGCACCAGTTGTCAAATGGACAGGCAATGATAACAAAACAAGAGTTAAATATCCATTGGGAAACAAACTGGCACTTGTGTAATATCAAAAATTTGTTTAGCCATTTTACTTACATGTAACCTAGTGCTGTTAATTGCTTTTAGTAATTTTGTAAATATAAAGGGACACGTATAATTTTGGTTACAAATTAGTAGTACATCTTGACAATGACTTTGAACTAACAATGGTTCTATGATATTTGTACCAAAATTACAATAATTTAAAAATATGTTCATGCAGAGGCTGATATTCAGATAACATACAATCAGGGTATACAGGTTATAACTTTGCGTGAATATGTGGTGGTAGGTTTAGTCTATTCTTTCTTCCATTACATCATACTATAAATTATAGGGTCACATTTTAGTCTTCAAATCATGTTTGCAAAAGGTTACTAAGTTTTTTTGTTTTTTATTGGGCCAAGCTCTAGAAGTTCCCTACAGTAGGGGCCTACATACATTTTGAAAAGTTTGTCATCTAATATGGCCGCGTTTTCCAGCTCAAACATAAAGGTAATGCATCAGCTGGTTCAAGACAATGAAATGATCAAGATTTAACTGACAATAACGCTCTCAATTTAATATTTAGTTTAGCTGCTTATATATTTAATGCTTTTTTATTAAGAAAAGAAATTTTAGATCACTGACAAAAATTAATAATCCTTAATACTTCTCACGGACTTTACTATTATTATTATAATTATTATCATTATTATTAGGATTCCCCTTAGGGGAATACTATTGTTTTTCCTGTTCTTCTACTTCTTATTATTATTTTTCGTCAAAAAATTTCTTTCTAAAATTCTGAAAAAAATCCATACTGATAGCCTATGAAAAGTTATTCCGGTCCACCCAAGTTTTTTGACCTTGACCTAATTTTCAAGGTCACAGAGCCTTTTAAAGTGAAATTTTTGCAAATTTCAAAATGCAATATCTAGAATTTTCAACATTTTGACAAATCCTTTCATAGGTGAGGTCACACAATAATTCTATATCAAGTGACCTAATTTTAGGAAAGTAGGTCAGGTCAAGGTCAACCTATTGCAAAATATGCTCCAGGAGGTTGACACTCGGCAGGGGGTAAACCAGATGTCACAGAGCCACAAGGATGATGTAAAAAGTTGCCATAGATATCTATCCAGTGCAGTCGCTAATAATATTGACAATTGATTGATTAGTTTTTTAATATAGATTTTTAAATATTAATAATTTCACAGAAATAGTGACTTTGTCAATTTCTCCATGAAATATTGATTTTTTTGTGATAACAAGCTACAGTAAACTACCCCAAACATATACCCAACACCCCCAAATCAAATGTCAAATTTGACCTTGACCCTCATTTTCAAGGTCATTCNATTATAATTATTATCATTATTATTAGGATTCCCCATAGGGGAATACTATTGTTTTTCCTGTTCTTCTACTTCTTATTATTATTTTTCGTCAAAAAATTTCTTTCTAAAATTCTGAAAAAAATCCATACTGATAGCCTATGAAAAGTTATTCCGGTCCACCCAAGTTTTTTGACCTTGACCTAATTTTCAAGGTCACAGAGCCTTTTAAAGTGAAATTTTTGCAAATTTCAAAATGCAATATCTCCTAGAATTTTCAACATTTTGACAAATCCTTACATAGGTGAGGTCGCACAATGATTCTATATCATGTGACCCAATTTTAGGAAAAGTAGGTCAGGTCAAGGTCAACTTATTGCAAAATATGCTCCAGGAGGTTGACACTCGGCAGGGGGTAAACCAGATGTCACAGAGCCACAAGGATGATGTAAAAAGTTGCCATAGATATCTATCCAGTGCAGTCGCTAATAATATTGACAATTGATTGATTAGTTTTTTAATATAGATTTTTAAATATTAATAATTTCACAGAAATAGTGACTTTGTCAATTTCTCCATGAAATATTGATTTTTTTGTGATAACAAGCTACAGTAAACTACCCCAAACATATACCCAACACCCCCAAATCAAATGTCAAATTTGACCTTGACCCTCATTTTCAAGGTCATTCGGTTATTTCATGGAGAAATATGGAAGTGGGCTAAAAGTGATGTTTTGTTGACCCCCCACACCCCCAATTTCAGAATACGGGGTCAAATTTACCCCATGACCTTCACATGACCTTGTAAGAGCATTTCCACACCTATTTTGCAGGGGAATCCTCCGCCACTGGCTTTAGCCAGTTGCAGTCTAATTATTATTATTATTATTATTATTATTATTATTATTATTATTATTATTATTATTATTATTATTATGTACTATGGGCCGGAGGCCTTGAAAAACTGAATAAATTATACTCTTATACTCAATGGGAGTAAAGAACAATAGTGCGCCACTGCAAGTGGCTACTAACGATATATAGATGGTGTAGATGTGGATTCCTGTTTTCAATTGCGGAAACATCACCCTTTTGTTTCTTTTTATATTTTACTAGTTTCTTGAATTGTTTTGCTTTTCAATGGCCATTAATTCAAAACTCCTTTTTAAACATCTCTGATTTAGACCTTCTCCAAGTCCCAAAGTTCATTTACTTATTGCAATTTTGATCAAACCATGAGTCTTACTTTGCACTTCTTTTTTTTAAGGGTCAAATTTGTAGCATACTCCATAATGCCTGGGAATTCCTTCACTGCACTATTAACTCCCACATCATTATAAGCAAAGGGCATGCACTCAAAATCTTCAATTTTTTGTTTAATTTCTACACTAATGAAACTCTCTGCAAAGGCTGTCCCCAGATAGAGCTGCTTTTGATATGGGTCCTTTCATATTGGTGTGCTTTAAACTTGTAAGACTTTTTCATTTCAAAGACACATTTTTTCCAAAAATTAAATGCAATTAATGGGATTTACACAGAAATATATCTGAAAGGCTGTGAACCGATACCCATTAACAGACCTCATAAACCATAACTGCTGTTTGCTTATACAAGCCTTAGACCCCATTCCAATAACTAGATAGATCTAGCTGGATTGACCCATCTCCTAGGAGTTTCTTGCTAAATTGCATTCAGCTTAAGCGATTCTGATGTCTGGTACGCCTACTGAAGCTGTAAGGGGGTAATTAACTATCATTTGGCAGGTTCAGTATTCATTTTCATTTTCATATTTCATCATAATTTTTTTTTCTGACAACTGCACTGGGTGGCGCCAGAGATAGGGCCAAATGGAAAGAAGTGACTGTGGCCTTATGTCCCACACGGGACGAAGAGGAATGATGATGATGCACTGGGTGGTAAAAAAATAAAACTTTGCTATTTATGTTATGTAGTTTTTTGATAAAACTGGGGTCTATCTTCTCTCCCATCCCCCCTCCATTTTTTAATCTCCAGGAACATTTAAGGTCATCCATATTTAAACTTGATATTATTAAGTCAGAGGCAGTTTGTAATCTCTAACAATACCAACTAGGCTGCAAGTGTCAAAACATAACAGACAGCCAGTTGGTCAGATATTGTGCCATCATAATGCCACATTCTTGTGGGGTGGGGGGGGGGGGGCAAAAAGGTTTGTGAACAAGCAAAAATTCATAAAAAGGTATGTAACTTCTAGAAAAAACTGTTCAAGCCAGCTTTTTTCCAAACTCAAAGTTTATTTTAATATTTCCAGTAAGTTTGAGAATAATTAGTTACATGGTTTATCATTTATTCTGTTTTTGAGTAAAAAGTGCTTGGCAAAGACAACAGCAATGGCAAAGACAGATGCAGATAAAGACTGACACTGTGCTTGTATAAGTATACTTCTGAGAAATGTTGTTGATGTTGCAGGTTATTTCAATATTTTTGGGCAGTCTTAATTATGTTTAACCTTCAAGGTAATGTCTTACCCCAAACTTTCCTTCAACATCTTCTGCTCCATTCTTTTTTGCCTCCTCTCTCAGCTGCCTTAGCTGTACTATATCATCTGGATTACCCAGCAATAAAACCTCTACCATGAAGGATAGAGCATTTTCCCAACGATGACTTAGCACTGAAACATGGCAAACAAAGCTGTTATACAGACAGGCAAATCAATGTCAATAAAACTGATAGAATAAGTGACACAATTACAGGTCCACCCAACTACCAGACTCGGCACCGAATGATCCTGAATTCACCCGTAGATCAGACCACACTACCCGTTTTCAAGGTGTGTGTCAGATCGCATTACACAGTATCAGACGCGACACCGCTCTTGCCTAGTACGCGATGTGATAGTGACGATTCTCAGCGGGATTGAAAAGCATTGCATCACCACTCAAAATTTGTTCAGGGAATGATACTGTGTAATGCGATCTGACACACACCTTGAAAACGGGTAGTGTGGTCTGATCTACCGGTGAATTCAGGATCATTCGGTGACGAGTCTGGTAGTTGGGTAGGCCTGAATTACTGTTTTAAAATGATAAACTCAAGTGTGTCAAGCTAAAATAGACCTTTAGAAGGCATGCCAGTGGTACAGTAAATGAAAGAAGATACATAATTTTAATATGAATGAAGGAATATATGGTTGATGGCTTACTATATTGATTGATGCATCTCTTCAGTAGGTACCTGCGCATCTCTGCACTTTCTGGTAAATCCACTGGTAATTTATCACAGCTCTGAAATATTCATACCTATGTATACATATACGTATGTTGAAAGTCTTCCAATTTTTCTCCTTTAACAGTCACCTCTTCCAATAGCAAGTCCATTCATACATTTCACACTGATTAATAATGGTAATTGTCCTACATTGCACCAGTATTCCCTACTTCCAATGTGTGTGTGTGAGTGCGTTTTTGGGCACACGGTGTGCACATGGTATGTATGAATGGAACTGTAATAAATGTGTGAGGAAGAGATGGCAACTTAATCGCAGTCGGATTTTTATGTATAATTTCTTGTTAAAAAAAAACATTTTAAATGCAGTTCATGTGCCAATTTAAACAGTTGTGCTTGGTACAATGTAGCTGTTGTTTTGTAATAATTATTTGCAATTGTCAAGCTATTCCCCCTACAGCCTACTCCCACTTAGAATGCCTGAAGAATAGCATATATAAATCTTTGATACTGGGTAACAACAATGGGTTTTCATCTTTGACAGTCTGTCAAAATATTCCTTTGTTGGATTACAATGGGGGTTCTTTCATGTGAAAGGGGATGGATTCGTCTCATTAACAACAAACCATTTTGTGTTTCCAAGCATTGTTGTGTATTTTAAACTTTATAATTGTTAGCTGAAAATGGCACTAAAACAGCGCTTAAATCTGGGACACAGACAAACCAGTGTGTTTGCAGCTGAGCATATGGAAAAGAAAGCTCTCAGAAAAATGTTATGTTTTTTTGTCATCTCAGGGAGCATTTGCAGCATACACACTATTAGACAAGAAACAAAAATTGCTCTTCGTCACAAATTTTGATGGGTGAAGAAAAAGGCTTGTGGCGTGTTGCCATCGTTTCCATTTTCCACGTCAGTACAAAGTATTACCTCCCAAACACGTTAACTATACAAATCGTTCAATTTTGGGAGTTAAATGCCTGAAATGCATGCACTCTGCTTTTCATATAACAACGCGTAAGGAAATCCTGTCACCTGAGCATGTAATCACAGATGTTATGACCCAATCCTTTTTCTGCTTCCTTCAGACAAGCGAAACAGCAAAACCACAGCTAGTGTGTATTTTAATTTTCCCATTCAGATTTGGCCCAGGGTCCTAGCATAAATAGTGGAGATTTCCACTGATGATATAATAATAATAAAAAATATATATTAAATGAGACTAATTAAATTAGCTATATCCAGTTCCAACTATTTTTTGCATGTAATTCATGAAAAATGATTTCATGTAATCGCTGTATAATCGCCAATTCAAGATCACAGCATGCTTTTCCAACTCTGTAAAGTTAAGTGTACTCTTTCCTGATAATTTTTGTGTGTTTAATGTTACATTTCCAAAAATTTATGAATATAAAGCAAAATACCATGCACATTCTAATTGGAAAGTGGGATCACAAGATCAGCACCATGTCGAAATTTAAATGCCCATGTCCAATTGTTGTTATCCAGTATTGTGTTACCCAGTATTGCAGACACATGATATATTAATCAACTACTATGACACACACTTGCAAGAGCCTTGCATATCCTGGACCCCAGTGTCTTGCCCAGTGTAGTGGTCTTTCCATTTCAATGATATTCCTTGACATCATATACCTGTATGCTGGAATAGAAACAAAGTGTTTCACATTAAAGCTCTACCTTAGTAACTCTATTTATAACTGACATATCCATTAAAAACACCAACAGCACACAAAAACTGGTTATTGTGCTTGACATTTCAGCATAACAACAAACCAAGCCTTACATTCAAATCAAAATCTAATTTGATTTCTGGTCAAGTTTCAGTGAAAGGGGTTGGTAATTTATGTAGATGACATCATGTCTACTGCAGTTGTCATATTTTTATGTCAAGACTTACTTGACAGAAAATCTCTGTCCAGCAGACCATGCTGTACAACCGAGAAACTTTCCTTGAAATCAGATGTTCCCAGTACCTCTAACAAGTAATCCATTAATCCTTCCATTTTCTGAATGTCTCTGAATGAAAGTTATATACCATTTACATTAACATTAACAAAAAATTTCTAAAGCTTTTCTTTATAAATTTCTTGCATCATGAGTAAGAACTCCAAAATGATATATTTTATATTTTCCGATTGGCCACATTCACACATACTTAGTAAAAATGGAAAGTATAATATGGGTTGTTTCAAAAATACTCACACTTTCAGACTTGCAGAAAGAATAACTTTAGACAGTGCTATTGTGTCAGATGATCTTTTCTCTTTGAAGACTTGTATCAGGCTTTTGGCAACATCCAAACAATTGCCTTGAGAAGCCATCAATTTTGCTACTGCAGCACATAAATTGTCAGAATCCTCTGCCAAAGCTTTAGCAACATCTGGAACAATCAAAACAAGCAAATCAGATTCAAAATTACTACTAAGCCTCAGCTAGGAGCAAAACTCTGTTCCTATAGGCCCATGGAACAATGCATTTCCTCTGGCTTGACAGTAAGTTTAATATTCATCTTGTAAGAAGAATGTGCGCCTTTCTGTAGTAAATTGTAAAGGATAAGGTCTACACTACAGGTTACAGAGTGCAGGTATAGATCAAGCTCAGGGGGGGTGTCCCTGCACACCCACTGCATTCCTAATTACTGTATATGTTATTTAATAGATTTTTAAAGAACACTCAACTTCTTTCTGCAAAAGACACTCTCATATACAATCAAAATAACTGGTGAAATACTTGGTTAACTGACACAGCACTTGGTTATTCCTAAAGTCTTCTTCAGTTAACTTACAGTCTTTAAGTGCATCTCTGTCCCCATCCTCCATCAAAAGTGCCATCACTTTTGGAGCCAATGCAGAATCTGTAAACAGGCCTTCCTTCAATTCTTCAAGCAGTACTTCTTTTCCATTCCTAAAAACAGGGTATATGTATTTAATGAAATGAACTGCAGGATCAGAAAGGCAAAAGCCACCTCCTGGGTATGTACCACCAGCTGGATTAGGCACATAAAAGGGATAATAACACACATTTAATATTTTAAGAGCTATAAAGAATTTTTTTTTTTTTTTGCGTTAAATGGCTAACACACCTTGAACATGTACATATTAAATAGTAACTCATCTAGCACAAAGGAAACACCAAGGTATACACATCAAATGGGAAAAGAAAAGAATCGATCATCCTAGAGATGAGTCAATGTTTTTTAAATGCTTAAACTAATAAACATGCTGGTGGGAAAATAAAATGTACATTTATTAATACAACATTTTCTATGATTTTTCCCCTAATTTTGGAGATATAACATAAGTACTTGGAAAATTGAAAGAGTATTTCACATATTTTGTTTATAAACAAAATGTGGATGTTTCTTTCCTTATAATGGAGATAAAACTCCTTAATTTTTTATCACGTTTTTACCAAAGAAAGTCACTCAGCAAGTTTTAAGTACTGTAACAACTAAAAAATGGTTTTGCAGATATAGAGTGAACAAGATATGGCAACAGAACCAGGAGTTATTTTTCTGAACAGCAGTGAAAATTCCTCATACTTACGATAAGGATAACTGATGCAATAAGGATAAGCTAATAACTGACATAATAAAACAACTTACAAAGTGATATTACTCTTCAAAGATTGAAAAAATTCATGAAAAACTAAGTTCAATGAATAGATAGACAGACATAAAGAAACTGACAAATGCTAATTTTATAAAGCTTCTAAATTGTTTACCTGTCAATAAGTACTTTGAAATATGCCCGCTCTGCTGCTGCACTTCCATCAGAGTATAGTGTTAAACTAGATTTCAGCGTTCCAAAAAAAGCTTTCAACTGGGTCAAATTGCATATGTCTGCCACCTCCTGCATAACTGATGTCATCAAGGTGTTCCAATCTCCAACCGTGTCTGTACCTATGATTTTTTCCTTTTCTTTGCATAGAAAGCTTATTGCATCTGAATAAAGAATAAAGGATGTTACTGTCACTGGGTGCTTGTGTGTGCAAACTAATGCCTAAGTGGAATTGCTTTTTTTTACAATTTCTGTAACCGGAACTTACACGTAGTATAGCATAGGGTAGGCAACAAAGGTTTAAAAGTTATACAAATGCCAATTTTGATAAAAATCCCATGACAATGCTCTAAAAAATTGATTTAACATTGAATTAATTATGCAACATATGTGAGTTTATGTAGGTCAGATTTTTGTTCAAATTTCATTAAAAAAACACAATTTCCCTTTAACCAGATAGTGGTTCAACACCCAAAAACCAACATGCAAAAGTATTGAGAAAACATCAGTGACAATTAAAATCATTTAATGTTTGAATCTTTTTGTTCATTCATATCCAGGTAACATGATTATCATTACTTTATTGACCATGCAAAGTGCATCAACACAAATATCTACTTACTGCTCTAATGCAAATCTACTTACCTTCTACACGATGGTGATTTACATAGAGTTGGACAATTTTCATGACATTCCCTATCATTAAATTTTCTTCATTTCTTGAAATAAAATGTAAAAACAAATGAATAATGTAGCATATGAGTAAAGCTCTCTTCATCTGGGTGGTATTAGTCTTTGGGACCATTCAGAATAAGAGAAGCCAAGTGCTAGCTAGGCCACGACCTAAATATGGTGGACCTACATGAAAGAAAGACCGCTTAATCCTGTAATGGTCTCTTCACCTCTCACACGTCTCCCCACACATCGTACCTGCAGAGGCACAGTAATTAAATCTCGGCTCAATTTAACCAGTCGAGGGATGACGCGTAGGGAGTGTGCAAGGCAGAGAGACCATTACAGGTTTAAGGGGGCAATGTAGGTAAGAGATTTTCCCTTAAAATAAAGGTCTTAGTTTTTTTTTATTCCTGGCATATTCATTTAAAGTATCTTCAAAACATCTAATTATGCTTGAAACACAGCTCCAACTTCATCGTATGACGTAATATTGGGATTTTGGGGACAACATTTTTAGACACCTCATTTTCTCAGGCACCTGGACAGCTATAAACATGCTTTTAATGGTATTATAAGACTTGGACAAAGTACTACAAAAGGGAGTCGGGGACTTTTCTTTAGAGACTTATTGTTGATATTATCTATAAAAACGTGAAATTACATCAAAATATTAAGGAATTTTCACTTTCAAAGTCAATAAATTGGAAAAGAGAGGATCAATCAAAATTTCTTAAAAAGCACTTCTAATGCATACTTTTCTTAATTAGCATGGTGAATTTGGTCTCCCTCAGTGTACAGGTAGACAGTTATAGCTCGCTCCGATAATGCTGTCTCGTCAATCTTGAAAGCGAAGAAAATGAGCAAAAACCCTTTCAGGGAGGTTAATTGTCCAAAATAGCAAATTAAATTGTTGACAGCTTTACCTGTTATCGTTCTGACGATCGCGAAGATAGGTACTCTATTGCCAGTTGAAATTAGCTTGTTTGCATGCATTTGGATGTCAGAAAATCTTCTTTTTGTATCAATCTCACCTCCTGTTAGTAACTTCAAGGGGTTACCGCTACCACTGCCAGAATGATTGACAGGCAATCAAGTAAGCTCTAACTACTCAACCAATCATGACAATTGACGCGGGGCAAGTATTAGGGATGCGCTCTAGGATGTGCACACATTAGCAGCATCGCAGGCAGTCTTGTCCACATTTGCGGAGCGAAAAATGGTTCTAAAACACGGTCGTGTTACAGGATGCCGATCGGACCATCAACAACAAGAAACAGTTGCAACCAGAAAGGCTTTGTTAGAGGAAATGTCTAAAGTTGGGTGAGTCAGGAAAAATTCTGCAATAATTGCTGAAGAAAAAAGCACCATGTCAGCCTAGAAAGTGGGTACAGGCATCCAGACCTGTACCTCGCGGTATACCAGCATTAACGTTAAAAAAACTAGGGCTTATTCTCCAGCTCATATCTTATTAGTTAACAAAAAAATCGAAAGAGCACGTGTAACAACAAGAAGTTCAAGGGAAAACGCGTATTTCAAGCAAATCCAATGTGTCGGAAAAGCTCCCTCTTAGCACTGATCACAATCAAGAGCGACTATCAAAACAGCTTAAGTGGAACAATAGGCAATGCTTTGCCGCTCGCTGTTTATGACAAAGGGGGTATGGCGCATCCCCGTTCTATTGTTTCTTTAGTCTTGCTGATGCTGCTAATGTCCACCCACCAAGTTTACCCATGCCAACGGCCCTTGACAACGAAGGTGGGGCATAGACCAGGCCACCGGTGCCGATGTTTGCAGCATCAGAATCCTTATAAAAAACATTTTTTGTTCAAAATGTAAAAATCTTATTCTGTTAAATGTTAGATACACATTTAACCAATAATTAGACATAAAAAACCTAAAATGATGATTTTTAGCCATATTTGGGTACATTGCCCCCTTAAGTGGTCTTCCTTTCATGTAGGTCTGCCATATTTAGGTCGTGGCTTAGCTAGCACACGGCTCTTCTCATTCTGAATGGTCCCTTTGTACTGACTGAATGTTAAGTTCAGCCCTGAAAAACTCAAATTATAATAATTATCATCATTATCGTTATTTTTGTCATTTATTAGCTGGATGATCTGACTGCCTGAATGCTTGCATTCAATGTGGCATTATTAATTAATATAAGCTTGTGACCCGCGTGGCTGGCATCCACCTATCACATGTAACCCTGTAGTTAGGTTTATATGTACTTGAATCTTTTTAATCTTTAGCCTAATTTATGGCTTTTGACTTCTATGTAAGCCAAGGATGCACATGAATTTCAAGTATATGAATCAATCTGGACACATCAAAAGGTAGACTGGAGTAGCTATGTACCACTAATGCCACAATTTAAGTCAAAATGACCCCCCAGACCATATACTTGTGTTAACAGGGTCATTCATATCTTTTTGTCAAACCAACTGAATAATCCAACACATGCACATGCACGCACACACACACAAATTAAGGAACCACTGCAAGAGTAACCTACCTTTTTTCTAGCAGCTGTTCCACTTCATTCATGTCACTGGATACTTTGGAGAGTTTCTTATTAAAGTCGATATCTTTCCTTACCTAAGACACGTGAAAAACATGGTTATAAGTAAGTGCAAACAATTTTTTTTTCAAGTTAAAAGCACTCTTTAAGGGCTTTTGGCATGAAAATAAAATAATGTCTGAATTTCCTGGAGACATTGACAATTTTCAGAAGTTAATATTCATCACACTATTAAGTTCTAAAAACAATTATACTCTATAAATGTCTAGTTTTTTTATAATTACCACTAATTTTTAATTATCTACTATATATAACATGGACATTTATAAAATTTGTTTATCATTTGGCTTCATGCCCATGGGAGTTTAAAGTCCCACTTTAAAAATGCCAATGCATGAAAAAGATAATTTCAGAAAAATGTATAACTCCCAGAAAAAGAAGCCAATTAGACTGCTTTGCCAACTCAGGTATTTCAATGAGTCTTTTTTTGTAAGTCTGAGAATCATAAACAGTGGAGAATTTGAGGGGGGCGGGGGGTTAGGGGGTCCCTTCGATTCCAAAAAAAAATCAGATCAATGGTCCCCTCTTGAAATTAGAATTTTGACTAGCTGAATCATAGTTCTAAACTATACCAAATGACACCGTTCACCCTCTAAAATGCCAAATTTTTTCAGGAGTCATTAAAGGTGACAGATGCAGGTGACAGCTACATGTACAGACACATCTGTATTTGTACATAAAAAACAGAAGTATACAGTACTGCCGTCTTAAAGACTTTCTTGTTATGACATTTGCACAGTGTTGCAATGTTTGTATGTAAAAATACTCAAAATTAAACTAACAAAATATTGTCTGTTTCCTGCCTGTTTATTGAGGTCATCTTGATATGCTCTACTCAGTTTGAAAGACCCCTACAAAAATGAAGGATATCAATATATAAAATGCATTTTTTCCTTTATTTTGATTTTCTGACCCAACATGCCTTTTTATAAAATATAGCTTTCTAGTAAATTAAAGGTAAATAATAATCATAAATGGAAAAACCAAGAAAAAAATATCTAATAACTTTAATTGTAGGGCATTCCCAAAAACTTTTAGTGGAGGTGATTAATTGTAATCATGATTATAAAAAACATCAGGTGAAAATTTCAATTGATAAGTTAGCATACCAATTTGGAGTAAAGGTCTACTATAACTTGTCCTGTCTCCCTGCTTTTGGCTGCTTCAGAACCAAAGCAGCTATTAAGGACTTCCCTAATGAAACAGTCAAATTTCTCAGCCCTCACATCTTGTGATACCGTCAAATAAGCATCTTTTTCTACAAGATTGGCAAACTGAAAATATTTGAGAATAATTTAATATGTAATTGTTATCATATTTTATTAACTTTCATAAAAAATATTCATGATACTTTTACTTAAATGTCTGAAATGCAGCATGCCTCTTAGGGTGTTTATTTTATCATAGAATACAATTGGTTTCATATGACAAAACTAACATTTAATTAATTTTTCTTTATACACAGACAGGCTGTGCACTTTCAGAATTACACAAAAGAAGGTTCTGTAAATCTACACCAGCTTAAACCATATTTACAAGTATTGCAGGCTCCAAGTCCTTTGGTCTCTGAGATAGTTGCTGAACACTTTTCAGAATGATCTCCATACTTTGATCATCATGTACACCAGTGCCATGTTTGGTAGCTTAAAAAACAGAAAGGTTCCAATTATATCACTACCACCCACCATAATTGTGCCAGACCCATCATTGAGGAATTTCAAAAGACCATAATTATGACACAATTAATACTACTAAATTTCTTTTTATAATACTGACACCAAGAAACTATAACCATGCCATGCACAATTGCAAAATATAAATCAAAGCCAAGAAAAACTGACAATACATTGCATTCACCTTACCACAAATACAGTATATATTTTGGCTAGCTTACCATGGTCTAATGCATCCTGTACACAGTCCCCATGGTTGGCCTTCAAAGTAAATGTGTTTACTACATCCGACTCAAAACCAATTTCCTGAAAAAAAGTCACAAAATTCAATAACTTCCAAACCCTACAAATTTGAACTAAAGAATTTTTAAATAAATACACAAAGGAGGCTGTGAATTGTTGATAATTGAAAATGTGCCTCAAACAGATGATCACTTTAAGAGACAGATAATATGTGCGTAATTAATATTACAACAGCAAGCACGACCATTTTAAATAATTAAAATGTGCAAGGATGAGACTGCCACTTAGTGAAAAAGTTGGAAAATATGGCATGGGGTCCAATTATACTTTTGTTGAAAAAATCTCATCCCTGCATGTGTGACACATCACTACATGTGAACAAATCAGCATACCTCTAACTTCTGGTTTAGAGCAACAGGATCTTTGTTGCATAACTTTAAGCTTCCACTGAAATGTTTACTAGAAAGCATTTTTGAAAGCATCTCTCTGGAGGGGTTCACATCTTTGAGAACTGCTAAGGTCTGGTAGATTCCTTAATTTAAAGAAAAAACATCCTCAATTATTCTACTGTGGTCTTCCTTACATAATAACTCATTTGTAACATATGGTAATTTTGAAAGGTGGGTTTTATTGATTGAACATAGCATACTTCACTTACAATTCAATGCACTCCATTTTAACTAAAATATTGAATTCCTATGGGACTAATTATCACATACATGAATTAATTGATTCAAATTAAAAACATATCCACCTCAGAACCACACTGAACTTAATTATTAAGAAAGCTGTGCAAAGAAAATGGAATAAAACAAACCATTTAGTATTACCTTCTATATTTTTTGCCATTAAAAACCTGTATAGTGTGCTTTCAAAGAGCTCCATTTGCACCTTCTGTCCTTGCTGATGTAATTCCCGCATGCAATCAAGCAAAATTTCTGAAAAAAATTGCACAACAAATACAGAGTAGATACAAGTTTTTTTCTTTTCAGGTACTTGCATTGTTGGGTAAATTTTAGACAAATTTCTAAGTGGGGTATTTCGGACAAACCAGCTGAATGAAAATGAACGATTCCACATTAACAAAGCGTAATGACATGTCCCCTCTTTCACTGCGTTATAAATATCAATTCACGCAATGTAACGAATGAACATAAGTAATGAATGAGCACTTGAAAGGGCAAGATGTGGAAGTTGTTCTCAAAAACCTATTGTTCAACATTCATTCTCGTAACTGACCCATATAAGCCACATAAATAGATCAAGTTTCAGGGAATAATATACTTTTTTGAAATCATTTATGAAGTGCTTATATTGGAAAGACCCCCTCAAACAGATAAGAACTTATAGGGAAATTTAAAAAAAAAAAGAAAATGCATATATATGGCTAAAGCATATCCAAATCTTACCAGGTCTTTCTGGCAAGGGTTTTAATGTAGTTATAATACTAGAAATGGAGGGTCTCTTCTCAGGTGGCAATCCTTCACTTTCCCCTATACCCAAAATCTGCTCATGTATCTCTTTGAGTGTCTGCAATAAAAACATCTTAACAGTAATTGCAAAATCCTCAACCTCCACAGATCAAGCTAGTCATTGAGTGTATCCTATTAAACTATTACTTCCTGCAAATAAATATCCCAATGCCAGAATAATGAAAATATATATAGGCATGCACACCAATGAATGGGTGAATGAAGGAACCATAAACAAATGAGATTTAAAAAAAACTTTAAAACATATCAGAAAATTACTTGTTCAAATATGACTTCAGTCCTTATGATTGATTGTATGAGGTCTGTCAAATAGTTCTAACACTTACTTTGCCTGATTTAATTTGACTTCGTATAAGTATCTCCAAAATCACGTCAAATGTCATCCGGGTCTTTACAATCCTGTACAATTTCAGTACCAAGTCCTGCTGGCCTTCATTGGAAGCCAGGTGGATATAATTCATTAGAAGAGCCATGTTGTCCTCACTTGCATGTTCATAGTCAATTTTTACTGTCTGGATGAGCTAAAATGTAATAAAAATACTCCCCAGGTAATGTGTAAAACCATTAAAAAAATCACACAAAATGTTTGATAATGGGAATGAATTTTGACTAATTGTAGTGCTCATTTTCATTCTGACAGGATATTTGTCACCCAACTGCACATCTTTCAGATATTGCCAAAACAAGGATAAATTTTATGCAAAATTTGCTAAAAAAACATAGCTTTTGAAAAATAAAAATTTTTCATCTTTACATGATAATAACTTACCCCATCATACATATCTTCATGCCCCAATGTCCATGCCTTCCTCAGCAAGTTCAATGATTGCTTTACATGCAAATCAACACCTGCAGCTGTCATCTGATTTAAAACCTTGGTTAAAAAAACAAATAAGTTTTGAGCAAGACCCTAAATGAAATGTGTTGGCAAACCAATACAACTATCGATACAAAATGTCCTTTCTCTTGAGAAACAATTAGTAGCCATTTTTATAACAAGATCATTCAAACTCCCAAAATTTCTTTAAAAGTGAATTAAAAATTGGTGGCTCTTAGATGTTTGATCTATTTGAAACTATTTTTATTTATCTGTTTCTTTATCATACTGTAATTGTAACATTAATAGTATCAACCGATCAGAGCGGCATTACAGCTGCCAGGCATTGCACCACCAGCAAGATTAATCTTATTCAAGTTTAATGGTACCTATGGATGTCTCTGCCATTTTTAGAGATATAAGGGTCTAAAATATTTGCATAGTTCAGCTCACAGTGATAAGTAGGTCTAAGGTCAATTTCAAGGCCACATTTAGAATGCCAGCATATGACTTCCTACTCAACTTCAATAGTAACTATGTCCCTATCTCTGCCAGTTTTGAAGATAAAAAGGACAAAAATGTTGCAAAGCATAAGCATTTAAAAGTTGCAAAGTTCAGTTCTTAGTGAAAAGTAAGTCAAAGGTCAATTTCAAGGTCACGGTTAGATTTCTAGCATATGACTTCCTATTCAACTTCATCAGTAACTATGGGCCTATCTCTGCTAGTTTTGGAGAAATAAGGGACCAAAAAGTCACAATTCATTTATTACAGAAGAAATGAACTGAAATAAATGAAAAAATAAATAAATAAATCAAAGGTCTTTTTTGTTGAAATTTATGAAATGGGAGGTGCTCAGAAATTCCAGATGTTTGAATTTTATGAAATAATATCATTTTTGACCAGAAGTTGTCTGCCTCCCAAAGCCTTATGTTATCTTTTCCAGACGTTTGAAATTTTACGCATATTACCGTATTGCACATTTTATTTTCACCACCACAATGTACTTTTTGATACAGTGTAACTCGTAAACCGTATGGAAAACAAAAAAATGGTTACCACGTCCAGTGATGGGCTTGACATGCTCTACAAAATGCAAAAAACAAGAGGTCTCCAGCATATGCGGGTTCTGAATTAGAGAGAGTTTTCAGTTTCGGCATCTTATAGCAGCTACTCCCGTGAAAATGCACATAGGTTAGGTTTGTGTAGTTTCTAAAAAATCTGCACAAATAAAAATTCTTTTACAAAAAAATGCTTATTTTTTAAAAACTTTGACCCTTTTGACCTCTAAATAATGGACAAAAGTCAAATCCAAGGGCATATTCGCAATCTTCACATATGACTTTTGGTCAGCCTGTACAAATTTTCCCCATAATTCTTTGGGAGAAATTTAGCATTTAAATTTTGCAAATTTTGAACAAGGGTGCTTTGCAACAAGCGCCATACCTAGACCCCAGCACTGACAAAGCCCAAAATTTGTATGGATCGAGTTGAGATTATATGTGACCTAAATCCAAGAGATGGGTGCGTAGGCTCTTGTAGTCTAGGAGGAGAAGCGGTAATAGTGACTTGGCGGCAGAGCCAATCGAACATGTGGGTCGGGACTAAAACCATGTGTACTGCCAGCGCCTACGCTGGTGGTACAATTAATGATAACAAATATATTCTCATTCAGTCACTATGGTGCAAAATCACACACATGTACACACAGTAACGACTAGATGGGGAAAAATTATTAATTCTCCAGATACGTCAATTTGGAATCACTAATAAGTATATTCTGTAAAGTATTTTCTACAATGTAGAATGGGGTACAAGCCTACTTTTTAATTATCTTGCCACCACTGGACAAAAGGAATGCTCCAATTTTGAGAACTAATGACTTTAAAAAAATAAAATTTGCAATTTCCTCATTGAAAAGATCAAGTCATTATCGTATTACTATATGAATAAAATTGATTTAATGATTAAAACAGCTTAACTCCAAAAAATTAAAATTTGTATACATTACATAGTTGAAGTGAATATCAGAAAAGGTGCAATTACTTTGTTCATTGTTTCCACATTATTTTCTTGCACACAGTTTTCTAAATAAGCCATATATGTCCCTGCGGTGAAAGACCTGGAGAAATAAAAAAAAAATCCATCAATGCTACTTTTATAATCTTATTCAAAAACCACATGTTCACAATAAATATCCACTTGAATATTTGCCAGGTACCTAGCTAGGTAAGTAGATTTTTTCAAAACCTGTGTAATTGTTATTCTACTAAAAGCTACCACTAGTCAAATGCAACATCTTTCGTTAATTTTTTTTAAATACCATATGTCATGCAAATTTAAAAATTGCAATCTATTCATTTATTCCACAAGAATTGGTAGACAGCCTTTCACATTTGTCTTGCAAAAATAAGAACTTACTCCATTTTCTCTGAAATTTCTTTAGCACCATCAAAATCTCTACAAAAATTGAAAAAAAGCACATATAAGCCTTAAATATGGTTATTTTAAACAGATAAGAGGTCAATCCATAAACAGATAATCAAACAAGGCCACTTCAACCAAATGATAATGTGACATATTTTGATATGCTGTGTTCATCGACTAAACTGAAATTGTGGAACTCTAACAAAAACCAACAATTGAAACAGTCATCTACTCTTGTAAATCTTCTCCCTGACTATGCCTTTAAGAAATTAGCAAAAAAAGAAAAAAAAAAAAAAAAAAAAAATATATATATATATATATATATATATATATATATATATATATATATATATATATATATATATATATATATATATATTTTTTTTTTTTTTTTTTTTTTTTTTTTTTTTTTTTTTTTTTGTTTTTTGTTTTGTTTTTTTTTTTTGTTCATGAAATTACTTGGCCTTTAAATGTGCAAGAAGCATGAGGTTTTGGCATCTCTGGTCTTCCTCTCTTTTCAAAACATCAGAATAATGTTGTTGCAACATTGCCTCTATAACCCTGAAAAAAAAAAGAAATATAACCATTTCAAGACCTTTAACTTGTTTGTAAAATGTAGGACAGAGAATCTTTATCTGAAGCAATTATCTGAGATTTGAAAAGAGTTTGACCAACACAAATTTTCCAATAATGACATTCTGACAATTGACCCCAGACATCAGTGAACACTTTTTGCTTAAGATTAAGATGTGTCCAGGTACAGGAATTAAAATGCAGTGCTCCCTTCCATGTTCAAATTACTTGAGTCACAGTGACAAGAAAGAAAAATATATTAAGTAACGTGATTTTTCTTATAAAAATATTTCACATTTTTCATTTTGGTCCCATATTTAGTAAACAATCTGCTGACCTGCTCCAAACATTAACTCTACCATTGAAAAGTGCACTGAAGGTAGGTCAAAGGTGAAAAAAACCTTCAAACATGACCACATGCAAAGACAAGTGGGGAACATGATTTCCAGATAATAAATAATGTTTCCCACATGAGATCAAGGTAAGAAAACTTACTTAGCACTTTGAAGATTTCCATCCTCAGCATACTTCTGAAGGCATAACATGTAATTTTTCTGAAATAAGATGAAATGTCATTGCATAAGTATTGGAATGAATTCAGAGGAGTCTCTTTGTATGGGGGGGATACAGACAGTGAACAGTCTGTATCTTTGGTCCCTTTTTGCCCTCCATCTTTGCTGAAACTTAAAATTAAATCTTAAACTAAGTAAATGTCTTGTAAATGGTTTACCATACATGAGTATCATTCATATGATAATGAAATGATAATGAAATTTTGAATGTTGAACTTGTACTTTGTGCATCAATCAAAGTACAAATATCAATAAAATGACATAAATTACAACTATTTCTGTTCACAAAATTGCTGACAGCAAACTAGCCTCAGAGACTCCTCTCAATTCATGCACACATATATTGTCATATCAAAACTATATAAGAAGGCTGTTGTACAAACCAAAAAACCAACATTATGAAAACGAAATGGCAGCTGCATTTAACCAGTGACAACATTCTAAAACAGATTTTGACTATACCACTGCCCATGACACAAATAACACTAAAACGTTAATAAATTATTCCCTATACATAACCAAGGGCATTATTGTAAATATATTTAACTAGAATTAAGTTTTAATTTGCCATTTTAGCTCTCAACTTTGTCAATTTCAATCTTTTTAACTGTAATATTTAGTTCTTTTAAACTGTAATATTTAGCTCTTTTAAGTAAAAACAATTGTAAGTCACACTGAGATATTTAATGGGATGTGCCATATAAGAATAAATTATTATTATAATTATGAAATTAGTATAATTATCTCACCTTTGATGGAGTAACTCCATCCTCCTTCATTTTGTCCAGAATTGACAGCGGTGAGAAGTCAACACCATTGGCCATATATACTTGCATAAGGATGCTGTAATGCAGGGACGTACGTGCTATTCCTGTTAAGAATATCAAACAAAATATGAAAGCTACTATATGAAAGCTACTATCTATCTATCTATCTATATATATATATCTATAATGATATAGAAATACAAGTTCTAAAATTCAAGCAAAAATATAGCTGCATTTACATTACTGGTATCAGTAACACATATCCCATATAAATTAAACAAAAAATTGAGAAAATACTTCTCATAGTAACTTATTTAATTCAAGTCATCTCAGAAAATCTCAGGAAAGAAGGCAAACAACAATGAAAATAATTTCTGACATATGATTTCATTTTCACTTTCGTAATGGTAAAAATTATAAATATCTAAACAGAGCAAGTACTTACAAACTATAACACAATAGATATAACATTATTATACAACTGCAAACAAGAATGCATTCTTTCTGCAAGACATAATTTAGAGCCCTATATACCTTAATCCTATGGGCCATGATAATTTATTGCTGTAGTTTAATGTGACCCAGTACACACATTCCTTTTTTCAGCTTTCTAACTGGAAATTTTTAATAATAGATAGACTTGTGTAAAAGCTGTTAATGATGCCAGATACACTGAACAAAAGAAAAGAAGTCATTTCCATATGCCATCACATGGTGTAGCTGGCAGGCATGTGCAAGTGACGTTATACAGTTGTTACCATTGGAATACTATTTGAATCAACACAAGTGGTTATCAAAATGCTTAAAAACATACCCAGTTTTGGCAATTCAAGCCAAATTTTTTGTGAAAGTTTGATCCTCTCATCTGATGGGACAGCTGCCAAGGCCTTTCCAGTATAACTAAGTAGAGCATAACTGTCCCTCCAGTCTGTGTATTCACCTGCTACAGAGAACATTTTGAATTGGTAAAAGTATAGAACTATTATATCCAATATTGTATGAAAAAACTAAATTCTGTATGCATTTGTGCATGCATGTCAAGTGTATCAACAAGGGAAACATCTTTTTGGACTACCCTCTATTTCCTATCATGTTTTATACTATGCATTTGTGAATAAATTAATTGCATATAAGTTTGTCAAAGTTATTGTTAAAAACATATAAAAAAATTCTGTATTCTTGATTTCAATCATTCTATTCTAGAGAATTATTCAAGTATTAGATATAATGGGCTTAAATGTGAGAACCCTCAGTAAGATTTTTCCTTGACCACTGGTTAAATGAGTCAGACTTAGCTAGAAAAATTGTGTGATATTTACAAAACATATTTGTTATTAAATACATTTGTTTTCATGTTTAAAAATAACATGCATTTGTTACACATATAACAAGATTTTCAAGTATTTCCACCCTTTTCATGCAATGAAACAATAACCATCTTAGCAATCCCATCCGCCTATTTGTTGTACAAAAAATATGCTTTAAGACTCAAATGATCTCACCTTGAAATGACTTCCAAAGATTTTCAAAAGTTCCTCGATTCAGATTTCCACTGAAACTAATGGCCTTTTCTGCTGAGTGAAGTTTATCATTGAAAGTTTGGAATGACTGACGTCCTGTCTTTGGATTTACATTATTTTCTTTGTCTTTTCTACTGAAATATTTTACACATGAAATAATCCATGTTTATATATAAAACTAGTAGATCACAGAGGCGATACTGCCTCCAGGTATTGTACCACCAGCTGGAGTTAGCACATTTGTATGGAAAACAAAAAAGGGACACCACCCCCGTGTTGTGCTTGACAAATTCTACAAAATGCAGTTAACAAGAGTTTTCAATTTTTTTTTTTTTAAGAAATAAAAATTTTATAACAAAACTGTGGGAAAAAGTAAAAGGTCATATCAAAACTTGCAGTAAGATTGAGAATATAAGACTTCCCATCCATGTTCAATAATAAATACAAGAGCTTGGAAATTTGGGAAGTGTGGTTCATGGTGAAAAGTAGACGTCTAAGATTGAATTCAAGGTCACAGGAATAAAGTCAATATATGAGTTCCTATTCAAGTTCAGTTGCAGTTATGGGCATATCTCTGCCAGTTTTTGAAGATAAAAGGGATGGAAAATTTGCAAAGTGCAGTTCGTGGTGAAAAGTAAGTCAAAGGTCAATATTTCAAGGTCACAATTAGATTGCCAATATATGACTTCCTATTCAAGTTCAATAGTAACTATAGGCGTATCTCTGCTAATTTTGAAGTATTTTACATTTTATTTTCAACACTGAATATTGCAACATTGTACTTTTTGTTATACCGCAACTCTTAAAGGGATATCAACTCTTCAAGTGAGATCTATTTTTCACAATAAAAACATTGTACAAACAATTCATATAAATATAATGTATGCAAGTAATCACAAAAACGACAGTTTAAGCAATTATTCTGAAATCTGTGCTTGCCATTGGATCATGTGACCTCCATAAACAGCTATACTCTGTAATAATCACTTAAGAGATTATTACAAAAAAAAAACTTTTTACAAAAAAAAAAAAAAAAAAACAGGGACTAACTTTGAATGTAGAAATGTATTCATTAACCATTGGTAACCATGGGAAAATTGTTGTTTACCCCAGGAAAATTAACTTTTTTGGCTAAAATGAACGGTTGTTATCCCTTTAAACTGTTATTAAAAAAAAAAAAAAAAAAAAAAAGGACACCACTTCAAGTATCGGGCTTGACAAGCTCTACAAAATGCAAAAAACAAATGGTCTCTGGCATTTACGGTTTAAAAATTAGAGAGAGTTTCGGCAACTGATGGCTGCTTCTCTCGTGATAATGCATATACTGACCCCAAACTCACAAAGATAGAAGAAGACCTCAAGTGTAACACATGTCCAAAATATTATGGGTAATGTCTATGAAGTTTCTGAAAATCGGCATATATAAGAACTTTTTTTGCAATAATTTTCCATTTTGGCCCTTTTGACATTGAAATAATGGTTAAAGCTCAAATCCAAGGTGTATTTGAAATCTACACATATGGCTTTCGGTCCGTCATCTACAGAAATTTTTCCCATAATTCCTTTAGTTTGGGAGATATTTAGCATTTAATTTTGCAAATTTTGGACAAGGATGCATTGTGACCAGTGCCACACCTAGACTCGTACACCGACAAAGCCCAAAAATTATGTGGATTGTGTTGAGATTATATGTGACCTAAATCCAAGAGATGGTTATGCAAGCTCTTGTAGTCTAGGAGGAGAAGCGGTAACGGTGACATGGCAGCAGACCTGGCAGATGCAGCGGATGCGGTAGATAGGCGGACGAGAAGGGTCAGGACTAAAACCATATGTACTGCCAGCGCCACACTGGTGGTACAATAAGTACATCCTATGAAAGTCTAAAAATCATAACCTTTTCTGAACTCTCTCTAGCGTAAATTTTATTTCAGGCATACAGCTGGATAATAATAATACCCAAACAGCTTAGAATACATCAAAGGTAATTTCACTAAAAATAGCAAAAAAATCCATTTTTTGGACATTTATAGTAAAATTAGTTTGATATTTGGCTACAACAAACTCGACCAGAGAGAATTCAATACCATTCTCATAGTCATAAGCAGTGTAAAACAATTTGTCAGGTCAGGCAAAAAGTTGTAAGTGGACAGGTATTAATACGAAACTAACATGACTCCTGGAAGGAAAACAGCTGATTTTATTAACAAATAAGTATACATACAGCATAAATTTGATACATCTTGAAGATCCTTTTGGGGTTTTTCACACAGAATGGACATCACCATATTGTTTCAAAGTCAACTTCCTCATTTAAAGAGACATGCTCTGACCTATTCATATTTTTAACTTGTCATTAACAAAAGGTTGGTCCTAGACCAAGAACAAAACCTCATACATTAGCACTCCTGTTGTTACAATTTTATGTGTGTTAAGCCATGAAAGACAGAGGTACGGCTAACTGTTTTAAAAATGTTGTTCAGCTAGCCATTTAGCACAAAAATTAATGCGTTAGCACTCCCATTGACGGTTCTGATATGTACTGCCTGTGCTAACACGAAAATTCATGCGTTAGCACTCCCATTAGCCAATCAGCTCCAGTCATGTTCTTGAGTTTCTCTAATCACCTCAATCCATACACTATGGTAAACCCTCCCAATTTTCTGGGAGATAGAGCTGTTACTAAGGTAAGATTCATCCTCTTGTCTTCCACTTAGGCTACAGTGAAATTAAACATCCACCATAAAGAAAACCTTGAACCCACTCTCTAAATGCACAAGGGAGGTAAAATAATGACACAAATTTCAATGGCTAAGAAACCTACAGCACATAAAAGTGTACAGTGGAAGTTGTTTGGACAATGTGTTCGTTCGAGAGTTTGCTTCTGGGCAGGTATCAATCCCTTGCATTCAGAAGTCTGTTTATTGCAGCCATTGCCCCCATATTGGCATTTGTATGGTTTCTCAGTAGCCTATACTGTTAGATAGACAAATGTACGTTACCTTACTCATGACTTTATTCATGGGAAACTGTTTGGCTTTTCAGGAGTGAGGGAATTGACAAGATGAGAGGTCAGCTAAAGATTTGAGCTTCAAGAGTCCTCCAAATGAAGGTGAATGAGCAAGCTGGTCACAGTGTTGGAAATGGGTGCCCACCGACCATCCGTAACTGGTAATGTTTTGGAGTTGTCAGTCCTGGTGTCTTGCTGACATTTTCCCTGAATTTCCAACACTGCTAGTCGTCATTTTACAGTTTTGCACACAGACAACTTTGAAGTGTCAGCACAACAGAGACTGTGTATAGGAGTGCTAACACGATGCATTGAATTTTCATGCTGGTCACCAGGTAGTTTCAATTGTAATCAATTAATTACTGTAGCCCCAAGATAAAAGACCCCCCTCCCCCTGAGCTGTTTCGACAGATAACTGTAATATAATAATACTAAGTGCCAGCAGAAAGAGTCTTCCAAATTAAAATAATGATACTAACTTTGCATTACCCCCCACACACACACACACACACACTGTAACTCTCTAATTTTTGATAGTAATCAAAACTAAGTTATACGTGGTGACTTTGATGAACATCGCTGCTATTCAAATATATATACTAGTATATATATACTATTTTTTTTTTTTTTTTTTTTTTTTTTTTGGGAAATTTAATGAATTAAATTCCAAGCAGAAAATGAACAATTTTATTTTATAAGGGTTTTGGACAAAATTAATGGCACCATGAAGTAGAAATACTTTATCCAACAAATTTCACAAATACCTGTCTGTGTTGTTATAATTCCTTTGATAGCTTCTCTCCAGCTGAATATAAGCTGCAGTTTCTGCAGTTCGAAAGCTATTCACAGATAAAGTGTACTTCTTTAAAAGCGTGCTGCATGGTCGTAGCATCGACGCCATCACTACGACCTTCACCTTCCTACAATGTGTCAGTTGAGAAAAGCAAAACACAGCAAAGCTGAGTAAACGTGGGGAACAAATATTGAATACATGGGGAAAAAATAACAACACTTACACACAAGGAAATCAATAATTTTCGCCAAACTTATCTGACCTTACAGATTTTTAAAGGAATCTGACTATTTACCAAATAAAGTCACTTGCTTTAATTTGAAGCAAAACATTAATCGACTCCGGATTACCTATCTTAGAGTTTAAAAATAGCACGAGCGTGGATTCCCAATAATGCATATAAACCACTTCCACTAATTGTTGATACGACTCAAATAAAGTCGACACGTAAGGTCAGAGTTGACCAAATTAATATCTCGTACTGCCAAAAAGAGTTTAGAACTGACGAATTATGCATTGCGACTAGTTTGTACCGCCGCAAATAATAGCTTCGAAACTAATGGTGATTTCGCTAATTAGCGCACGGTCGCAATTTGCGAGGCTTTCGAGATATGGGATAGCGAGGAATCAGCATGCTTGCGCCCTCTCGCCATAAGCGAAGCGTTCGAGATACGGGGCCAAGGTCTCTTTAAAATCTCTTTACAATCTGAGCACCTAGATAAGTAAAATAGTCTACTTTTAAATAGAAAAGAAGGTTGAAATCCACTTAATACCGGTCTCGGGCAGGTTTGTTGGTACACTGATGGTAGGCCTATATGTTGTTTGAACACGACGATATCGGCATAGCGCAATGTAATCAACACTGTGCCACTTTTATTAACGCGTGTCAGACTTCCAGCTCAGAATTGATCGGACAGTAGCAAGAGGGAAGCATTATGGCCACATCGAGCTTTTTTTGCAGGATACCATATGAACCACCTACATGGGCTTTAAAACTGAAAAAGATACCATCTTCTCGTGTTAAGGTAGGTCCGAAAGCCCTTGCGTTTAACACCCCATTTCCATAGATTAGATCGACCTACTTTAGATCGACCTAACTCCCCGGGGTTCGCGCTAAATAGCTGTCAGCCGGGCGGATACGAAAGTTAATTACCCCTTACAGCTTATAGTAGGCGGGGACGGACACTTAAGGGGGATTATCTGACAGTAATCTAGTGAGACTCCCCGCGGTGATAGATCGATCTAAAGTTGTGGGAATAGACCCTAAGACTGAAGCACCAGCACCTCGTCAGTGAATCAACTCCCTCCCCCTACTAAAAGCTATATAGGCCTATCTTATCCCAGATACTTATGCAGCTAATTAAATATGTCATGATATGTCAATACAATATTTCATGAATTTTTAACCTAAATGAACTTGAATGTATGCTAAAATCAAGAATCGGGGTCGCCTAACAGCAACTAGTCGCTAACTGAGTGTTGGGAAAAGAGCTGCACACAGTGGTATACGTACTGTGACGATTTTACACATGAAGCAAGCAAGACGACTTTTGCATAATTCAGGAATTATTCACGGTTGTTAACGCTTATTTATCCTTTTTAATACCAGTTAGTTCACGCAGAGACGCCGATTCATGAGTGGAAAGTCCCTGGTGTAAAGGCTCCGTTCACACTTCACGTAAAGCGAGACGACCTAACTGGCAGTACGCTTACTGGAAACAAGGTAAGTTCTCGGTCATTATATTTTAATAATTTTGAAAATTAAAAATTTTTATGTGGATTTCACAAGACAAATATGGTTAAAACCTCACTACTTAAATCTATATACCTAGATTTTTGCCCCACTTCAATTTATAAACCAAACCTTATTTTTTCTCTACCCATGCATATTATAGATTTTTCTGCAGCCCTTCTAACGTTGTCAGTATATTTGAAATTGGAGGGAGTTTAACAGGGAATATTTTTTCCACAAGGTTACATTAGTCCTCAAAATGTTTTTATGACAACTTGTCGTCTTACAGGGCTGCAGATATTATCAAATAGGGCCTCTTGTTTAACTTAGGCTTTGTTATTTCATTTTGGCTTATTCAGGCATATTTCTGTGTACAGAAAATGTTATTGTTTCTTTTCTAGGTTCGAAAGTTAGAGTTTTTGTTGGCAGATGCTTTGGACAAGGGTTGCAAGCACATAATTACGTGTGCTGGAATGCAGTCTAATCATTGTAGAGCCACAGCGGTGGCGTCAGCTCAAATGGGATTGAAAAGTCATCTAGTGGTTCGATCCAAACTGAAGGTTAGTAATGCTAGAAGTGTGGAATCGGTACGCAAGCAAAGTTGCTCTTAGATATAAAAAATAAATAAATAAATAAATAAATAAATAATAATAATAATAATAAACAGTGTGTCTCAGCTTAGTGGGTTTTGGCATACATGTCTTACATTCAGTAGAAAAGTAATATGACCTCTTTAGGTTAATAGATCGATCCTCCAAGACCTGTGTCCAAAAGTACATATCGCGTTCGTCTACATATGGAGATGGGTTTTTCCTAGTGAGCGACATTTTTTTTAAACAACGTTTATTCAAAAGAAAGAAATGGAGGCAAGGCGCTGGAAGCATTATATGCTCTTCACAAAATTAAATAAGTAAATAAATAAAACAAATGGATACATATATACAACAGAGTAAATGTAAAACTTCAAATATTATGGAGCACAAATTAAGTACAGAAAGAAAGGAGAAGAAAAGAGATAGTACCTATTAAGTGATGACAAAGTTTTCGAGAAGAAAATTTGCAACAGTTTCAAAGATAATTTCATTTTGGGTGGGTGATAAAGATCCATGACCGTAGAGAAATAGGGACAGCTTTTCTTTTTGTTTTAAAAGAGGTCTTACTTTCATGTAGAATTTCATTTACTTTTTGGTAAAGGGGAGGGTACCTTAAATTGAGTGAGGGGCATCTGAAAAAGAAGTGTAGAGGAGTTTCAAGGGCACCACAGGTGCAGTGTGGTGTGTCAATAGTAGTCCAGTTATGCCTAAACAATTCTGCTCTAAATAAACACCCGACCCTCGTTCTGTTAAGAATTTTTTCTTGATTTCTGTCCAAGTTTAGTGTTGTTGTTGAAAGCGACCCAGCAGTGAGGTGATTTTATCGAGTTCTTGACAGATGAGATTGAAGGTAAAGATTTAGTGGAGGAGGAGAGTTGATCCCATGAAGACATTAGAAAATAGTTAACTGAGGTACGGGGGTATTTAGTGAGCGACATGAGCTATATCTATTTCGTGTTTTATAATATAGTTATTCTATGCTAAAAATTCCACAGTAAAAGACGAAAAAGGTTCATATATTTAAAACCTAGTAAATTACGAAATAGACACGGACATCTCATTGTCGTGTGTATAAATTGGTCGTTCTGAGCTCAAAATACCACAATTTTAGACGAACGCGGCATGGCCTGCACCAATCTCGCATATGTGGGGGTCAGTTATTGACGAAATAGTCGATTTCGTGTTTCAAAACACCACAAAAAAGAGGAATGCAGAATGGATGGTCATGGATGGTGTCAATTTCGCATCTATGAGACCTAATAAATTGTGAAATTGACATTACATGGTGCACGTCGTGTCCTCATGTTTGGGACCATTTGAAATAGGCACGCAAAGGCTTCTGTGGGCCATGGATAATAATAGCGGAAGGGGAATCTGCTGGAACAAAAACGACATTGCAACTCATAGCGGACATCAGTACAGAGTAACTTAATAAACCTACATGTATTTGTTACGGTTTGTCATATATGTATACCATAGTGCCATTATCACTTAGTAGTTTTTACCAATTTTTAAGCTTCAGCAAGTAAACGTATCAATGTTTAATAATTGATCAAACCAACACTCGCGATAAATTGAGATCTGTAGTATCTGAGTGCAATCTGGATGAATTTAGTTCCCCTATTTGTTCATGTTCCTGATGCTACACAGAGAGCATAGCCACCCTTGGCTTCATAGGTGTCAGATCTATATGCTGATAGTATACTACTCTCTGACCACAGGTGCGCTAGTAGTCTATTACGAAAATGTTGTATCGCACCCTGTGCTAATTCAACCAGTCAACGGGAACGCGTTCCTGCCCAAAATGTGAAGGCGGCGGGCGTATGTTAATATGGAGAAAAGTCGGACTTAGTACTCAGATATTCGATAAGTAGGGATGGAAAATTAGGCTGCAAACAAACATATTTTTATTCTAGAATTCTGAAGACGTTCCTTGTAATGGCAACCTGCTTCTTGACAGAATGTGTGGTGCCCAAATCTACATCGTGCCTTGGGAAGGTACTTACGAGTCTCATCTCAAACCAAGTATGATAAATATTGCTAGAGGAATTAAGTAAGGAAAATAATTTCATTGATTGATTTTTTTCATAAATGAAAAAAGGAAATAAACTAGATATTTATGACAACAAGACGTAACGAATGGGCAATTTAATTCTATAGCCAACAATGCGATTTTATTAAAATTGGTTAAAGATGCATTTGGAGTCAATTTTGTTTTGCCACAAAAACCAACCAAATGCCACCATATACTTTGAAATAGTATAACGTAGAGAAATGCAAAAATACATAGTTTTATATTACCCGAAAAATGATATTTGTATGGATTTCTGCTTGCTCTCTGTGCTTTAAATAAAGGGGGGAGGGGGAGAAAAGTACAGTACGTCAGATAAGTAGGTCAAATTTACGACCAAAAACTCTTTTATGGCACATCGAGTGATTAATTCGGTTTATCCATGGGCACTTCACCTTATTTGAGTTGTATGAGAAACTAATAAAAGTGGTTTATATGCGTTACTGGGAATTCACGCTCCATCAACGCTCGGTTCAATTGTGTTTTTAACATTAAAACATAACTGAATCCTGAATACTGACAGCTAGAGAAGACCCCTTGTAAATTATAGATTTCCGGTGTGCTCATACCTACTGTTGTTGAATACAGTTAAAAATATTTTAGCACATAATGCATTATCTTCATCGACAGTAATTACGTGTTTTGTCGCCGTTTTATTTATAGGGAGACAAGTGGAGAAGACTCGTACCTCATTCCTCTTGGTGGGAGTAATTCGGTCGGACTTTTTGGCTACATAACAGTATTTCACGAAATGATTTCGCAGGTATATGACCTTTAAACAAAATACAATAAAGTAAAATGATACAATATGAACTTTTTAACAAATCGTGATATTGACTTTTTTATGCAATACGTCAATAGTTTGTTGATTGAAAAACCAGTTTTTCCATTCCCATATCTTAACTCCATAGTCGCACTACCATTGCTTTTTCTGTGGAAAACTCACCCAATAATTTTGGAATTCATCGTCTTCGTGGTCATATTTAACTAACAAGCTTAAATATATAATATGGCAATTTAATTGAAAATTAGGGCACTTTTCACATTGAGGCTATACTTGAAGCGATACAGGCCGCACCGGTATGCTTGGAGACATCGGCAGGACTCGACGCAGCCAATCAAATAACACAGTGTGCTGGTGCAGATTAAATCGCTCGATGGGAAAATAGGTAAAGAGGGTTCATGCATTTTTGTGTTTATAATATATACAGATCCCAGCACTGATATCCTTTTCTCTCAGGGTATTCTAGAAAACTTTGATGACATAGCCTTTGCCTGTGGAAGTGGGGCTACCGCTGCAGGGCTTGCTGTAGGAAACTACCTGAACGGGTCCAAGCTCAAGTATGTTAGAAATTTAAAATGTGGTCTTTATTTGAATTCACCATCTGCAGTTTACCATATTAATTTTTGGTTTAGGTTCAGTTTCCACACTAGCCATACTAATTTGCCTTGCAATATGGTTGCATCGTGCACAAGATTATTGAGAAATTTTACTAGAGATACATGTATAGGCCTAGCTGGTGAATTTGTAGCAGGAAATATATATATACCACTGTACTTGATAAATTCGGCGTTTTTATGTTCCAACGACAACATAAGTCATTTCATCGATTCTAGACGCTTTATTTCAATAAAAGGTAATTGCCCAGTTTTTGCAGCAGAGATCTCATGCGGGAGAACCTTGTTTCCTTGCTTTACATATTACNATAACGTAGAGAAATGCAAAAATACATAGTTTTATATTACCCGAAAAATGATATTTGTATGGATTTCTGCTTGCTCTCTGTGCTTTAAATAAAGGGGGGAGGGGGAGAAAAGTACAGTACGTCAGATAAGTAGGTCAAATTTACGACCAAAAACTCTTTTATGGCACATCGAGTGATTAATTCGGTTTATCCATGGGCACTTCACCTTATTTGAGTTGTATGAGAAACTAATAAAAGTGGTTTATATGCGTTACTGGGAATTCACGCTCCATCAACGCTCGGTTCAATTGTGTTTTTAACATTAAAACATAACTGAATCCTGAATACTGACAGCTAGAGAAGACCCCTTGTAAATTATAGATTTCCGGTGTGCTCATACCTACTGTTGTTGAATACAGTTAAAAATATTTTAGCACATAATGCATTATCTTCATCGACAGTAATTACGTGTTTTGTCGCCGTTTTATTTATAGGGAGACAAGTGGAGAAGACTCGTACCTCATTCCTCTTGGTGGGAGTAATTCGGTCGGACTTTTTGGCTACATAACAGTATTTCACGAAATGATTTCGCAGGTATATGACCTTTAAACAAAATACAATAAAGTAAAATGATACAATATGAACTTTTTAACAAATCGTGATATTGACTTTTTTATGCAATACGTCAATAGTTTGTTGATTGAAAAACCAGTTTTTCCATTCCCATATCTTAACTCCATAGTCGCACTACCATTGCTTTTTCTGTGGAAAACTCACCCAATAATTTTGGAATTCATCGTCTTCGTGGTCATATTTAACTAACAAGCTTAAATATATAATATGGCAATTTAATTGAAAATTAGGGCACTTTTCACATTGAGGCTATACTTGAAGCGATACAGGCCGCACCGGTATGCTTGGAGACATCGGCAGGACTCGACGCAGCCAATCAAATAACACAGTGTGCTGGTGCAGATTAAATCGCTCGATGGGAAAATAGGTAAAGAGGGTTCATGCATTTTTGTGTTTATAATATATACAGATCCCAGCACTGATATCCTTTTCTCTCAGGGTATTCTAGAAAACTTTGATGACATAGCCTTTGCCTGTGGAAGTGGGGCTACCGCTGCAGGGCTTGCTGTAGGAAACTACCTGAACGGGTCCAAGCTCAAGTATGTTAGAAATTTAAAATGTGGTCTTTATTTGAATTCACCATCTGCAGTTTACCATATTAATTTTTGGTTTAGGTTCAGTTTCCACACTAGCCATACTAATTTGCCTTGCAATATGGTTGCATCGTGCACAAGATTATTGAGAAATTTTACTAGAGATACATGTATAGGCCTAGCTGGTGAATTTGTAGCAGGAAATATATATATACCACTGTACTTGATAAATTCGGCGTTTTTATGTTCCAACGACAACATAAGTCATTTCATCGATTCTAGACGCTTTATTTCAATAAAAGGTAATTGCCCAGTTTTTGCAGCAGAGATCTCATGCGGGAGAACCTTGTTTCCTTGCTTTACATATTACACTGTTTTATATTCAGAATCCATGCTCTGTTCGTGGGTTCAGATGCCGAGTTTTGTAAAGCCGCTGTTAACCAGATGTTACACGATGTTGGGCTGACTGACGTACGCTCAGAGGACATGGTGGACATGATTGAAAGTCCTGAAAACCAAGGCTATGGGGTGTACACACAGGAAGATTTAGGTAAGAGATGGACATTGATTTGTTTTTTTTAAACAATTTAAAAATTGTTTCGGTAACACTAACAAAAATAGAGTATTCAATATCCAGCGCTTATTATCTCATTACTTGCAATAGTGGAAGTCAATTTGACTTGAGAAGATGCAATGATGTCATAAGTACGTTCTATAGTTCATGAGGAGTTCGTTAGGACTAATGATACATAAAGGCCACCTGGCATTAACTCATTCCCAATTGGCTCTACAAGGCCAAATGCGTTCAACTGGGCCAACAACCCCCGGTCTTCCCTGGTTACTTAAATGTTACTTCAGAAATACGTCGGGGAATAAATCGAAGTAAGGGCGCATCTTCTGAGCTGATTTGGCCATTTTGGATGTTGTTTTTGATATAACATTATGCTTTTTTCTTTTCATTAGATTACTTCATTCAAGTGGGCATTGATACGGGTGTCATTGTCGATCCAACCTACACTGGCAAAGCTGTGAAGTTCCTGGTTCAAGAAATGAACAACCACCCTGATAGGTTCAAGGGTAGAAGGGTATTATTTTTGCACACAGGTTTGTTTTTTCATCAAACTGAACTAGAATCTGAAAGAAAGTGCTGTTCTCTTTTCTAATTTCTATCCTAACAACATGAAAAACTGTCGGCTATGTTGGGGATTTAATGAAAAGTCCTTCATGTTGTAAACATAGCAAAAGCTTCGAGGAATATGACAGTGCACTTTGATTTTGAGAATAATTAATATATTACTTTACAGGTGGTGTCTTTGGACTGTATGATGGAAAGATGGACAACGTATTGAAGGAGCACGAAATGACCAATAGAGTCAAGATACTTTATGACTAAACGGAACGAGTTTTGAGTCTCTTGCCGTGTGAGTAATGAGTCGCTTATTCTTCATTCCTACCGTTACACCTGAGTAACGGAAGAAATGGGGGGAAACGGAAATGGATATATTGGGCTTGAACCTGTCACATTTTGAATTTTTTTTTTTCGGACAAACTAGCAGCCGAAGAGAAATGGTCTGCTGAGACTTTGGCAAAGAGAAAGGACAGTATAGGACCCACCGTTGCCACCCGGTGGCAGCACTTTCTGGGTTGTATTAAGACAATCTGCCCGTGAATATAAATATAGCATAATTTCATATCACAGTCAGCTATCGCCAATATGAAGTTATCCTGTGAGAAAGAGGCGTATGCCCATACCGGATTTTTGAAAACAGGGAGTGGGGTTAAACTTTTTTCTGGTATAGTTATCTACCGGGTACCACGAATGATATAGTTGAGAGTAACGACGATTCATCAGAGATTGAGGACGGTGCGAATGAGTTTAATGATTCTGTAGAAATAGAAAACGCTGTGGATAAGGGCGTCTTTTTTTCAGAGGGAGAGTTTCAACTTTCTGATAATAAGCCAGTTCAAGTGTCACGATAAAAAAGTAAATAAAACCGAGGCCACCTATTACACTGGAGTTCTTTTATACATTCGTGCACAATTTTAGACTAGTTTTTTTTTGTGAAACATCAGCTGTCAACTCACAATTTTAAAATATATTGAAAACGTGTTTATAAGAGTTGGCATAAATGGGATAGAAATACCATGTGGCTTATGTTCGATTTTATAAACCCCGATTAAAATCTGGTTAGTATGTCAAAACTTCGTAACAATCAAAACAACTTACAAAGCCTACTTCGAAACACTTAATTGAGTTAAAATAAAAAGCAAACACTCATGCATGTGTCCGCCGTAAAAAGAATAGTTAACTCAAAAACCCTGTCTTAATTATCCATCACCATATTTTACCAATTTTGCCAACCTAATCGCACAAAAGAACAACAGAAGTAACGAGACCTCCGCCAAGGCAGCAATTTTTGATTATTGATTGATTATTGATCCGGATCACCCAAAAACTAATCATCTGTTCCTTGGCTCACTTTGACAGTTCCTGAAAATTTCATAAAAATCGGTCCATAACTTTTTGAGTTATGTTGATGACAGACAGACAGACAGACTGACAGACAGACAGACAAACAAACAGACAATCAGTGGTGAAAACATTACCTCCTTCGCGGAGGTAGTAAGCTTGTTATATTTTTATTCAATAAAGCGTGTCACACTCACAATTTTGATAAAAACTTGTAAATTTGCAAAAATCAAGGAGGCGACTTCATGTGTTCTTGTCAGGTATTCTGTGATCGACTTTATTCCGTCTCTGTTAAACCATGTGGCTTTAACACACAAAGGGTACTTTTGTTAACAGCTCCCTATTGATAAGGATCAATGATATTGATGGAAATCGTCACGCCCCTACCCGTTACTATTCCTTTCCGGTTCTTCTCCCATGGTAAAACCTAGGTACTCTTTGACCACAGCAGTGGCAGATTAAGAGGGGAGTCAGGGGGTCCTGACCCCCCCTCCCCTTTCGACTTGTGGATCCCTCTTGAACGTAAAATTCTGACTAGCTGAATCATAGTTCTAAACCCTACCGAATGGCACCGTTCGCCCTCTAAAATACCAAATTTTTTCGGAGCCCTTCAGCGGGCCCCGAACCCCACGCAAAGTGGTGGTGTTGGGGGTGGGGGGCTTTGCATAGGCGGACGACCATTCAAATAATCCTGGATCAGCCCCTGCACAGGGTGCGTGAGCGTCCCTTTCATAGTATTGTTGTTGTTACACTGCAGGTATGGACACGGTGATATGGGCATAGCCCAACGTACTTAGACTGGGTTCCCATACTTAGATCAATCCATCTGGATCGACCTAACTCCCTGGGGGTTCATGGTAAATTGCTATCAGCTCAAGAGGCTTAAATGTCTGTCACGCCTACCGATTAAGCTTAGGGTAAAGATAATTACCCCTTAACAGCTTTTCTAGGCGTGACAGACATTTAAGCCAGTCAAGTTGACAGCAATTTAGTGAGACTCCCCAGGGAGATAGATCGATCCAAATATCTGTGGGAATGGTCTCTTGGTATAAATACCGCTGTGCCGCTTTTATAGCGATAACGCGTGCCAGATTGCCAGCGTAGAACTGATCGGACTGCAGTAAGAGGGAGGCAGTATGGCCACGTCAAGCTTTTGCAGAATACCATATGAACCACCGGCATGGGCTTCAAAACTGAAAAAGATACCATCTTCTCGCGTTAAGGTAGGTCCAAAAGCCCTGCGTTTAATACTATGAAGCTCCATCACTTCATCAGTGAATCAACTCCTTTCCCCTACTTGTAGTGGTCTTGACTTATGCAGATAAGCTAATTCAGACACAAATCTACCGTTATATACAGATAGACGCTGCTGTATTAAATAGGTCAATACACTATAAACATGAATGGAGGCATAAATCAAGAATAGGAGTCGCTTAACAGCACCGAGTCGCTGGCCAAGCAGCGGAAGAGCTACCCACAGTGACACATACATATTTAATAGAAGTATTATCTGGAAAGATGGATCTATGTTGCATAATGTAGATGGTTGAACGACATCACCATTTGGCCATAATAAGAAAATGGGCCACCGACACGGCTGATAGATTCCCCTATACATGCCTATACCCTCTAAACCGCAAGATTTGTGGAAAAATCCATATCGCCGGAAACAAGTTTGCAGGCCACTCAGGCCCGCGCTGATCTGTAACGTCACTTGCGAACAGTCTACAATCTTGATTCAAATCTCAATTGTGTTTTATTTATTCCAAATGTGACAATTAAGAATATGGTAGTCCGCGAGGAACCGGTAGTCCATTCCCTACTACGTTCGTCCCATATACCCTTAAGACTAACTCCAACCTGTACTAATGATATGTGACCCTGGACTTCCATCTAGGACTAACATTCCTGTCACACCGGTACGGAGTTTTCGACACTGGATGTAAATTATCCGAACTAACCATAGAGCACGATAATTTGATATAAGTCAAGAGTTATATACTCAACGCACAATTGAATAATTGAGGAATTTTTCACGGTTGTTAACGCTTATTTATCCTTTTTAATATCAGTTAGCTCACGCAGACACCCCGATTCATGAGTGGAAAGTCCCTGGTGTAAAGGCTCCGTTCACACTTCACGTAAAGCGAGACGACCTAACTGGCAGTACGCTTACCGGAAACAAGGTAAGTTCTCTGTCAGTATATTTTTAATGTGGATTTCACAAACCAAGGTTAAAAACTCACTGCTTCAACATATCTAGATTTATACCTTGCTGAAATTTATTGACCCAAACCTTGGTTGTTGCGATGGCAGACTGTCTCTACCTATGCACAGTACATATTTTTCTGCAGCCCTTTTGACGTTGACAACTATTTGAAGTTGGAGAGAGTTGAGCTGGGGAGATGTTTTCAAGGAATGATTCTGCATGTTGACATGTTCCTCCTTAGATCGCCGTGACAACAAGTTGTATGGTTACAGATTGTAGCATTTAGGCCCTGCTAGTTTTTTTTCTTTGTTATTTCATTTTGGTTTCTTCAGGCATATTTCTTTATACAGAACGTATTGTTGTTTTTTTTCAAGGTTCGAAAGTTAGAGTTTTTGTTGGCAGATGCTTTGGACAAGGGTTGCAAGCACATAATTACATGTGGTGGAATTCAGTCTAATCATTGTAGAGCCACAGCGGTGGCGTCAGCTCAGATGGGACTGAAGAGTCACCTAGTGCTTCGGTCAAAATTGAAGGTTAGTAATACTAGAAGTGTAGAAGTGGTACGCAAAGTTGCTTCTAGATTAAAAAGGTTGTAAAAGAACGATGTCAGCGTGAAAGTCTTATTGTCTTGGCAATACGGTGATGAAGTGTTCAGGCTGACTTCAAAATATAGGTTAAAATATTATGCTAGTTGTTACATACTTAAAATCTATTTGAAATAAAAGAAAGGGTGGAGAATATGTGGAATATGCTTGAACAAAAGTGATAGATGAGAAAGTAGATACTGCAACACATGTAACTTTATAAACCTACATGCATTTTCCATACATGTACCCCGTCGTCAGTGTCATTTTAGTAACTTTTACCAAGCGTCGGCTAGTGACTGTATCAATATCCAATACTTGATTAAACCAACACTCGCGATAAATTGAAATCTGTAGTATCTGAGTGCAATGTGGATGAATCCAGGTCCCTTGTTTGCTCACGTTTCTGATGCCACACGGGGAGCATAGCCACCCTGGATTTCAGAGATGTCAGAGGCATGCTGATAGCATGGCACAGGGGCAGATCCAGATATATTTTTGGCAGTCTTCCAAATCATCTCTCTTGAGCCATCGTCCGTTTTTGCCGTCTTCCGACAAAAAAATTTAAATGCCCGTCAATGTAAACTTGAAAAAATTTAACCGTCTTCCAAAAGACCCAGAAGACGGCCTCCCGCCCCTTAGCAGGGTAGTAAGGCGGTGAGTTTCTAGTGACCTATAAAATTCAGGTTGATGATAGTGGGGAGGGGGGCAAATCTGGACTTATCCAGCTTGCAATGTTGACTTTTACAAATAAAAAAATAATAATAAATAAATAAATAAAAATACAATACCTATACCTACTTAAACCAGTGAATTAATGTGAATACAAAATTAGCACACCCTGATATCTCCTAAGGAATAAACTCTGAACACAACGTGTGTACACATAAAAAAGAAAGGTTAGTTACCATCTTAGAGTAGCGGAATGGTAACCTCTCTCACAGAACTAGCTCTTCATACCCTGGGCTGTCTTGCCCTTAATTATATATATATATATATATATATATATATATATATATATATATATTCTGTCTCCACGTGCTTTGTGTTGTTTATAAATATGTTTGGGTCTCAGAACACGTAGGCGAAACGCAAAACTGCTTTCTTTGTTTCTTTTCGTGCCATTCCCGTCAGATTGCTACTCTTGTTGCATTGCATCATAGTTTCCAGGTTTATACATAGACAGCTTGTAAAACACCGCGGTGAATTAATGATAGAACAGCTTGCCTAGTCTTTTATCATATCAGCACACACTTGCAGCATGTGGCTGCCTAAAATGTGAAGACGGCGAGCGGACGCTAGTACTCTGATACTCGATAAGTAGGGATGGAAAATTAGGCTACTGACAAGCATATTTTTATTCTAGAATTCTGAAGACGTTCCCTGCAATGGCAACCTGCTTCTTGACAGAATGTGTGGTGCCCAAATCTACATCGTGCCTTGGGAAGGTACTTACGAGTCTCATCTCAAACCAAGTATGGAAAATATTGCTAGAGGAATTAAGTAAGGAAAATAATTTCATTTAATTTATTTNAAACAATAAATAAATAAATAAAAATACAATACCTATACCTACTTAAACCAGTGAATTAATGTGAGTACAAAATTAGCACACCCTGATATCTCCTAAGGAATAAACTCTTAACACAACGTGTGTACACATAAAAAAGAAAGGTTAGTTACCATCTTAGAGTAGCGGAATGGTAACCTCTCTCACAGAACTAGCTCTTCATGCCCTGGGCTGTCTTGCCCTTAATTATATATATTGTGTTGTTTATAAATATGTTTGGGTCTCAGAACACGTAGGCGAAACGCAAAACTGCTTTCTTTGTTTCTTTTCGTGCCATTCCCGTCAGATTGCTACTCTTGTTGCATTGCATCATAGTTTCCAGGTTTATACACAGCTTGTAAAACACCGCGGTGAATTAATGATAGAACAGCTTGCCTAGTCTTTTATCATATCAGCACACACTTGCAGCATGTGGCTGCCTAAAATGTGAAGAAGGCGAGCGGACGTTAGTACGCTGATACTCGATAAGTAGGGATGGAAAATTAGGCTACTGACAAGCATATTTTTATTCTAGAATTCTGAAGACGTGCCTTGTAATGGCAACCTGCTTCTTGACAGAATGTGTGGTGCCCAAATCTACATCGTGCCTTGGGAAGGTACTTACGAGTCTCATCTCAAACCAAGTATGGAAAATATTGCTAGAGGAATTAAGTAAGGAAAATAATTTCATTGAATTTATTTATTTATTTACATAATTATTTTTATTTATTCCATAACTAAGTATTTATGACATCAAAACCTGGCGAATGGCCCAATAAATTTCTTTAGAAAACGATGCGCTTTTACTGAAGTCGATTAAAATTAATACTTAACATAGTCCAATTTCTGACGGATTACCAGATATCTTCTCTAGCTGTTATGAAATTGTATAGTTAGTCTTTCCAAGGACGTTCTTGGTCTTTAAGTCAATTTTGTAACACCTGGAGAAGACCTCTTGGTAGAGGATAGATTTTCAGTGTGCTGATACGTTAAACTTATGTTGTCGAATGGATCATCCCACAAGGCAATTTAAGCTGGTAATATATTATCTTCAGTAATTACGTGTTTTTCGATGTTTTATTTATAGGGAGTCAAGTGGAGAAGACTCGTACCTCATTCCAGTTGGTGGGAGTAATTCGGTCGGACTTTTTGGCTACATAACAGTTTTTCATGAAATGATTTCACAGGTATGTGACCTTAAACAAAATACAATAAAGTAATATGGTGTAACATTATTTTCTTTACATATCGTGATTTAATTTAAATATCCTATATAACAGTAGTTGTTGAATAAAAATTCAGTTTTTCCTTTCCCATATAAGCTACTAGTATATTCCACTGTAAAGAATATTTAATCGTTTGTCTAATTCCCATTCCTTTTTTCCTAGGGAAATTGTTCTAACGACTTTGGGTTTCATTTTCTTGTAAATAGCTCATTTTTCTCATTGAGGGTATACTTTAAGCGATACAGGCCGCACCGGTAGCTTTAGAGAGATTGACAGCGCTCGACACGGAAAATTATTAGCATATATAGTGTACCGGTGCTGTTTGTATTTTTCAGTGGGAAAATGAGAAGTACATAAATTTGTGTATTTATTATATAGGGCTATGCAGATCCCAGCACTGATTATCTTTTTTCTGCAGGGTATTTTAGACAATTTTGATGACATAGCTTTTGCCTGTGGAAGTGGAGCTACTGCTGCAGGGCTTGCTGTAGGAAACTACCTGAACGGGTCCAAGCTCAAGTATGTTGGAAATTTTAAAATATGGCCGTTATCTGCAATTTCTTGCAATACGACTGCGTTTTTATTTTTGTTTTTATTTTTGTTCCCATGGCAACGTAGGTCACTCTATCGATTCTTGGCGCGTTTTCTGAACGCGTTTCTAGACCAATTTTGCATACGCTTTATTTCAACTAGAGGTAATTGACTTAAATAATTTGCAACAGGAATCCCGTGCTGGGGGACCTCGTGTTGTTTCCTTGCTGTATATATTAGTTACATTTTTAGAATCCATGCCCTGATCGTGTGTGAGGATGCCAAGTTCTATAATGCCGCTATCAATGAGATGTTGGACGATGTTGGGCTGACTGACGTACGCTCAGAGGACATGGTGGACATGATTGAAGGTCCTGAAAACCAAGGCTATGGGGTGTCCACCCAGGAAGAACTAGGTTAGAGATGGACATTGATTTATTTTAAATTGTTTGTTTCAGTACCACCAACAATAACAGAATGCTCAATATCCAGCGCTTGTTATCTCGTTACTTGCCATAGTGGAAGTCAATTTGACTTGTTAGGTTGCAGTGGTTATATGGGGCTTAAGCACATTCAGTAGTTCATTGTGACGTTAGGATTACGATACAGCTAATGTAATAATTTGAATATGCCGCTTAATGAAATAAGTATGTTAATTCTGAAACTAAACCATGGATATTATCAATATACTTACATCTGGGAATTATCGACATTAGGGCGCATTTTCCGGGATGTTTTTTGGCCATTTTGGTGTAATATATGTGGTAATACATTCTTGATATTATATGTTATTACCTTTCATTAGATTACTTCGTTCAAGTGGGCATTGATACGGGTGTCATTGTCGATCCAACCTACACGGGCAAAGCTGTGAAGTTCCTGGTTCAAGAAATGAACAACCACCCTGATAGGTTCAAGGGTAGAAGGGTATTATTTCTGCACACAGGTTTGTTTTTTTTCTTCATCAAACTAAAATATGATCTGAAATCTGATCTGATCGATATGTAAACATAGCGAAAATCTACGAGGAATTTGACAAATTCAAAGTACAATGCATTACTCGCCTGAGTGGACGCTGGTTCTGGGAATAACTAATATATTCCTTTACAGGTGGCATCTATGGACTGTTTGATGGACGGATGGACAACGTATTAAAGCAGCACGAAATGACCAATAGAGTCAAGATCCTTTATGACTAACCGCGTCGAGTTGTGGGTCTCTTGAGGTGTGAGTGAAGTACTTATTCTGCACTCCGTCCGTCACAGCAGAGTAACGACAGGAGGGGAGGAAAAAGGATCAGGATTTATTGAACTTGAGCTGGTCACATTTTCTATTAGATTTTTTTTCAGACGCTTTTGTCAACAGGGGGAGCTAATCTGCTCGGACTAAAACAACAAGAACGTCGGGCTCTTAATGAAGCCCATTGTAGCACCAGCCGGTGTCACTTTGTGGCCAAACTTTCTGTCTTGTGTTGAGACGAAAATGTCCGTGAATGTGATAAGCATAATACGATATTGCGTCAGTCAGCTATTGCAAATATAAAGTTACCCTGTGAGATAGGGGCGTATACCAGATATTAAAATCGGGAGGGGAGGTAAAACCTGTTCCGGCATGGTTCTCTATTTGCAGGAATGCTACCAGGAATGATCTCTGTGTTGTTCATGTATACACATTGTTCAGCACACAATCTAATAAGGAAAATCATTACATGAGACTGATTAGCCGATTAAAGACCTTTCACACATCAAGATCTTGGATATTTACTCTTCATGTTTAGTATATCTCACTAGCATGTTGTTTGCAATACAAACTCGACAAAATAGAATATTTTTGTTTTTATAAGTTAAAGCCAAAGTGCAAATTTCTAATTGTCCAGTGTATAGTAAATGTATAGAATGGGAACATCCAAAACCATGGAAAATATATCTTCAGAATCATGCGATTTGCATGATTTTTCTTTAAAAATTGCATTCTTCGTTCAGCCCTTGAGCATTGCGTGTTATTTGAATTAAAGCTAGTTATTCAGTGTGTTGAAGAGTGGATAAGATAAGCAGATGCGTAAAAAGCAAATTTTAATCGTGGACGGGATGGGGGGCTAAACATGAAAAACAAAAGCGACAAGGGAATATATATCTGCAAAATTTGGGAACCTGAAGTTGGACATGGGTTAACTAGGGTCTCGACCAGCGGATATAAGCGGCGGGGCAAATACGACCGTTTTCCTCATTACACATTGTTTTCAATTCAATAGGTTTCAAAACTATATGATATTATTTTACTCTACCTACAAAATCGTTTCCAATGGCATTAAAATCGTTTCCACTATTGCGAAATAATAATCTTTAGTTCAAAAAGTTCAGTTTAGACGTATCAAATTAAACAACAACTAATGTTAACTTTCTCATATTCCCAATGATGTTGAGACAAGTGACATATTTTCCGATCCGCTCATAAAATCTTTCCAAAATGCTGAGATATGATTTAAAGCCCACTTTAGTTGGCGTTAAATATGAGGTACAATGATAAATGGTTTGTAGTTCATCGTGTAAGTACAGAAGGACAAACATGTACTCTGTTGACTATGATAAAATACTGCAAAAGAAAAAAACGCGAATGAATATTCAGAAACAAAACTATGTATATCATGTGCTGAAATTATCTTTCAATCATTACTTCATTTCTTTGTAAAAGGCGCGCATTAGTGCGAGTCTGCCCGGGATGCTGTAAAAGCGCTTTCTGCTGTTTCACTTTTAACCACGTGCAGGACGGTAAAGATCTATGTAGGATGCTTTTTTGTTTAATGTATAAAAAAAAAAACACCCAAATATCAGTTAAAACGGTATATATATATATTTATTATGAATAACAAGAGATCTTTTAAAAAAATCACAATTCGTATTGTGCCTTAAGTGCGTAATCACACTTTCAAAAATAACAATTCAGATCAACATGGATATTTATTATTGTGACCTTTACTTGAGAAAAATAAATAAGCATATCCAAGTCATTTCAAATGACCTTTAACAGAAATATATACATGTTAAATTACCTAAGTCTTGGACGTTAGTCGTCCAAGCTTAAGCTTAATAAATTAATATAGTACAGCCATTTAAATTGGCCAT